TATGTTGTTTTTTTTGCGATTTTAAGAAAACAGCTGACATTGACTCATTATAGGAAAGCCAGAGTTGAAATCCCCTAAGTACAGGCAAACAGAGTAAAATAAAATGTTTGTATGTATCTCCACTTCGAGCTTTGATAAGAGAGATAAATGCGTGTGAGCAAATTCTGGACCAATTAATTAATTTAATGTGACGCTATCTCACTGAAAGTGACCATCATTGTCACCCTGATTATGGTGCCAGATGAAAAATCAAGGAATTATCCTTTTGATTTACCTTTTTCACATTTCCAGAACAAGAAACTATTTTATGTCTTAAAGGGTTATTTTTGGGCTCTTTGTGCTTTATTTAGAGACAGGACAGTGGATAGAGTCAGATATTGGAGAGAGACAGCGTGGTGAATGACATTCTAACCCTGGGCGCCCGCTTGGAGGACTACAGCCTCCTTACATGGGGTGCACATTATCCACTAGGCCACCCCTGACATTATTATGTTAACCTGCCTCGTTAGTCATTAATGCGCTCTGCAATTACACGACTAAATCTAGTTAATTATTGCTAGTCTGTTCAAAAAAAGTCTCTTGTAGCAGGTTTTGTATGTTTTAATGGTTTTGTCTTACACATGATGTGATCACTTAGTAGTTGACGTCTCATTGTTAAACACCCCTGGTTTGTTTTATCAAGTCTCTCTACAACAGAACTAATCAGGCTTCACGTTTCACATTCCCAACTCCTCCTCACCAGAAATTTGCAGACATAGCACAGAACACTTTGCAGATCAATGCGATGGTATCTTCATAAACCACTTTAAGTAGATAATCTCAGCAATCTGACAATTTTGCAAGCCTGAACGTCCTTCCTGCCCAAAGATTGTGGCTTAGCAAGCTTCTCCTGTATCCTCTATTCATTATTGTTGATCCGGAGCGAGGATGGACCTGCTGCTGCAGGAAGACCGGCTGAGCGTCTGCCAGCCGCCGGCGCTATGCTAAGGCGCGTGGTTGGGTTTAAGCAATATATCCTGCCTTAAGTCTCTCCTGCCGCCTCGCCATGTGAAATAACAGTCCAGGAATACCTCCTCAACGGCCTCACCCCCTCCCTTCCCTTTTCCATTTCCTTCTACTGCTTGGACACCCATCTGTTAGGACAGCAGTTGTCAATGATCTCTCACTTCTGAATTAAAACATAAATCAATGATGCCACTCAGTAAGTTATTGATGAAGACGGCAACTCAGCCCTTACAGAGATGATGTTGGTGAACAAGTAAGTTTTCCTCTCACATACCTACTTGCAGCAACCCCACTGTTCATCCCATATCTACCTGCTGAGACTAAACATCGCTTTCCTGACAAAGAGCTGATTTGGGCAGTCAAACACACATACAGTAGTTGTTGCAGTCCTGGGGGACCAGTGACCTAGTTGTTAATTTGTGCGCCCCATGTACAGAGTCAAATCTGACCTGCGGCTCCTTTCCCGCATGTCATTACCCACTCTCTCTCTCCAGTTTCCAACACTATCCACTGTCCTGTCTCTTAAAGGCAATCAATAACCCAAATCAAATCATTTGAAGAAAAAGGTTCAGTCTAACGCTGGAGGGTTGTGACCCAAAAGTGGGGCATGGAGCGGTTTTCAGTATGTTGCGAATGTGTGCCTAGAAAAAAAAGTCTGTGAAGCACTTTTGTGTTTGTGTTGTTCCACTTCTTTGTCACATGTTTTGTACCATCTGAGGGCTGAACCGCACCATTTTTTTATTTAATAACTCTGATTGGTTGAAACATATCTCTTCTGCGGGTCCTGAGGCTAGACGAGTTGAGAAGCTCTGGTCTTAAGTACTTGAAGGTCTCTTGTAACGCATCTTATAAATCACTCAAAACTCAGACTATCCATGCACCAACTGTTTGTCCATCAGTCTGTCACCCGTCTGTACTAACTCTTCCACATGTGTTTAGACAGCAGTAGTTGAAGATTCTCCATACAGGTCAGGGCCAAGGAAAACATGCAGCATCAGCTTACGCACTCCAAATCCTAACCTTAACCTCGGGGACAAAATGCCTATAAATTGACCTTTGAACAGCTAATGACAATACTGAGCCAGGCTGAGGGAGAGTGTGGGGCTCCTCAGCACAAAAATAACTGACCTACGCGGCTGCTCGGGGGTTAAACGGTTTCTCAGAAAGTTCATTCTACTTTTATTAAAGTATCAATCCAGTGTCTCAGTACAAGTCAAGTAAGGGACAGAATTTAAGACAGAAATGCCTCACTGGAGGAGGCGAGATACGCCATGCTTTAATTTGAAACAACTTGAGTTCTAGTGAGCTGATACACCATGAAATCTACACATTCCTCACTAGTGAAGAAAAGAACAGATGGGAGAAAGCCAGGGCCTGAACGTTCAAAAGTAGTCCAACAGGTTTACAAGATTTAATCAGATGGGATTTAATCTTGAAATCAGTGTTATTTAAAAAGATTTTCAAAAGGATTACATAATCGAGTACACTCAGGTAATCCCAAGTTTGTTTATACGGATAGACGTTTCTCTTGTTCAACCACTGAGTAGGATTTTGTGAACTTTGATGCAGATAAATCAGGTTTATCCTGATTCCAGCGGAGGGATGAATTCAGACTGGATTACAGGAAGAAATTCAGAGAACTGTTACCATGTCCAAACTATAGAACAGGCAGCTGATATCAGGGTCGTCACCATACCAGATTTTCAAACCCGGATATCGATACCTGTCCATACAAGTATCTGGATGATTCCTTTTGAACAATCAGGTCAAAGACGTGAAATTGCCTTTGAATAATTTGTCTTTATTTAGTAGCAAATGCACATTCCTCCACATGCCATAAAGATCTAAACACATGGAGGATCTAGATATGTGGTCTGATGGAACAGAATGGAGGCGGCAGGGCAGGCATCTATCTGTCAGCTCAAGCAGCCATTTACAGCACCTGACTGCTGCCACTGCCTTCAGGCCTGACCGCGACCCCCACTTGAGTCAAGCGCAGTGTGGAGTGACACGGTGTCATACAGACGCCCGGGGAGCGTGTCTCCACCAGATGACACCAGAGCCGGGGGGGGGGGGGGGGGGGGTTCAGACAGCGGCGAGGACAGATGACACGCATGCCGCTCGCTTCTTTGAGGGAAGGAGGCCGTTTTAAAAAAAGGGTCCTTGAGCCGCTTGAGGAGTGTGCGTATCCGTCTTTGAAAGGCGGCGGCTGTCAGCTATGCAATCAAGGAGAGGCCCCCTGATACAGATGCTGGCACGCGTTAGCGTCGCATCCCACGGGCACGGGCATGTTGTGACACTTCAGACAGGCAGCCACGCTTATTCAGGCCTCCCAGCGGTCTTCATTAATCTGTCGTGCTTTTCAACAAAAGCCCCGACACTTGTGTTCTCACATGTACGCCAGAACTTCAAGGAGAATGATTAGAGAATTTATATGCTATTCCTGTGGTCTCAGACAACTCAACAACAAGAAACCAGAGAGCTGCAGCTTTATTACTTTAAGAATGCCTCAATTAATTTATGATTAATGGACCTATCATGACTTTAAAACGCACTAAATGAGTTTTTTAAGGGTGTCCGGCTGCAGAGAGGCACACTTCAAAATCAAAGTAAATAAATAGGAAATTAAATAGGAAAGGTGAGATTACGCACCAAAAATATACTTTTGCAACACATGGACTGCAACATCCAAAACACTCACAAGGACACACTCAGAGGCCTTTAAAAGCGCATCTTTGAGAACACACATATCGAACTGAGCGTGCCAGGCATACCAAGGGGAGCCTCAACAAGCCAAGGCGGGGGTGGCCGGCTTCTGGAATGATACGGAGATGGACACACTGGACACCTCTTTGAAAGTGATACATGGCCATGGCTGGCAGCAGAGCGCCACTGCAGATCCCCTCAGACAGGCAAGAGAGGATGCCAGGCAGGATGGGATTTAGGCTGTAATGAGCCTGGCCTTGTGTGTACACACACACACACACACACACACACACACACACTCTCTTAGCGCCTAAGTTTGCTCAACAATGTGGCCAACTGCTAAGATAATAAGGACGTGTGCACATGAGATGAACTACAAAGCAAATCTGATGGTCAGATCTGCATTCCTGAGTATCACATATTTGTAGAGCCACACACACACACACACACACCTTTGCATATTTATCCACAAAAACAAACTCATACACATGCATATGACAAGTAGACAAACATACACAGTCATAGAAACACATTTTCAACCCCAGCAAAAGTTTCTTTCGTTCAACCTTAGAACACAACTTTTTTACAAATCTGAAGAAAACGTACTTCTTCTCTTTCTTCTGCGACATAAATGTTTTCAGTTTCCTGCTACAACCTCAACACACATCGGGTGTTACATTTGAACATTTAGTTATGATTGAGGGAGATGTTTACAAGCCTGCATACTTCCATTAGTGCAATAAAGGTTGGCATTAGAGATGATGTAATAATCAAAATTCAGTCATATTCTAAAACTTAATTGAGGGCTACATGTAAGAAAAATTTAAATGTTCTATAAAAGTTTAATTCTTCTACAATGAAGGTAGTCTTCAAAAGCTGCAACCAGAGTTCCAACACTGAACTCAGTGACTCCACTGTTCAGCTTGTATTATGTTAGAGAGTTGAAAAAGTTAAACTAACCCAATTATCTGATCACTTTAGTTACTTTCAAAACTGAATTCTGTTTCAGTTTTGTAAAATTTGATGCAGCTATTTTATGGAGCCAGATTTCAGCGATTAAGACTCTCAATAACAACTTAAACTAGTAAAATTTCTGTCTAAAACCCCAACATTCACACCACTTTCATGTGTGCATATTAAGATTTTATTCTGAGACCAACTAGATGACATGACATAATAAAATAGAAAGTAATATTCCAGAATTTATCCGATCCTGTGTCAAGACCTCGAGATGATTAAATGTAACACTCTGAACTCTTCAGGGGTCAGTAGCCCACGTGAAAGGATATGATTTGGTGGAAGGAAATTCCAGCAGAGGACCTGATTGGCAAGAGCCAGGTAACGCTGAAAGACCAATGACATCTGGGCGTTTAGGTTTTCTCTGCGGCTGAACTCCTGCAGCACCTCCATGGTCAACATGAAGATCTGACGCAGGCCATCCTCCTGGAAGAGACAGACAGAAGAGCTGATGTATCAAAAAGGGACTGCACGAAAAAGACTACATCAGAGAGAAGAATAGCATCACTGACTCTTCCTCACACAGCTCTACTGCTCACTGGCAGGTAAAAAAAAAACCACATACGAGTAAAGAGTGAGGTGGGAATCAAACCTGAAACAGACGCTTGCAGCTGCCGTGAAACTCCATGCTGAGGCCGATGCTGCTGGTCTTACTGGAGCTGGAGAACTCGCTGAGCAGAGCGGTGAGGATGGAGCAGGCCAGTGTTTGCTGCAGCAAAGAGGTCAAAGGTCATACAGTTATAGAAACGTTTTATTTAAATGTTGGAGAGCTTAGCTAGAGAGAAAATATATTTGTAGCTAAATGGAAGAAATTGATGATTTTTGACAAAGTGGAAAATTCTTACAGACAAACATAAATGATATTGCTATATTATTATTTCCTTTAATCCTCATTTTATCCTTTAGCCTATCTTATTCTTGTACTATTCTGATTCATGTTGTTTAATTGCGTTTATCTATTTTTATTGAGCTCAGTTACTTTAACTGCTTCTACAGTGCTTTTAAATTTAAAAATTTTAAAAATCTTTTTATGCGTCAGCAGTTTTTATTGTTTACTTCATGTTAGCTTATACCCCCTTCTTATTGTTTAGCTCTCTTATTTTATTATTATTCATTTATTTATTTTTCACCTTTCTCTATTCTTTAATATTTCTCTGATTTTGATTTCTAGCTTCTAGCCACATTTTTTTGTTTGTATCTCTTCTTGATACTCTTACTTTTTATTGTTTCTCTTTTAATTGTTCTTTTATCGTCTTACATCCTCAGTCCTCTTGGTCTCAACCTGTGTTGCCTGAGTTATTATGAGTGATTGCTGCTTCGGGTTTTTGTTTGGGTTCTTTTACTGTCACAGGTTTTGATGTTGTTGGTTGAATGTCTCCCCTTACAAGTACAGTAAATTCAGAGCGACCATAATGTATAAGCATTTAGTACCTAGAGAAGAAGGGTGCATCTCAATAGGCTGGTGAACATCTGTATATTTTATCTTTGTTAGAAACTACGTCACCCCTCCTGAGTGTCTAAATTTTTCTATTCCTTCAGACTGTGAGTGGAAAAAATATGGAGCTTAAACTACATTAAACATCTTTATGTGTATACACATACAAAGAGTTATAATCAACATGAAGTTAAAAAGAGTAGTATCGTTATCAAGGAAACGAAACCTACACTATCGCTTCCTCTATATCATCGAAATGACTCACTGAAGTCTGTAATCATATCAAACCAGCACGTTCAGCCCTCCATGGCACTAGACTCCATAAAGTAGTTCATTCTTTAGATTTTTTGGTTGTGGGAACAAATGAAACAGTGCCACCTACTGGATGAGGAGAAGTACTACACTGTTTACAGTCATGCACTGATGGAGCAACATAGTTCTTACAAAACAGCTGTACCTTCATTTAGAATATATTCATCCCTCATATTTGTGACTCCTTTCAGATCACCAAAAATATGATTTAACTAAAAATGATGGATTTGAGTGCAAATAAACAAACAGGCTAGATATCTAACTTTTCTTGTAACCACAAGAACAAGCCTGGAGTTGTGGAGTTTGCATGCAGAGAGTCTGCTAACAGTGTGGGATGTGGTCAAGCATGACATGAAATCTCAAAATGATACTTCTGTTTAAAGCTTCAAATCCTCTTTTATGTCATCTATTCTAAATCTGTAAACAATGATTGTTTGATGTGCTGTTGTGTCTCTATGTGTTTCTCACCACATTGGGGTTCCCGCTGCTGATGAGCTGTCCGACCTCGTGAAAGACGCTTTTACAGTTGATGCTTTTGTCGAGGGAGCCCCTCTTCACGATGACCGCCACAGCCAACAGGATCTGCTCACGGACGTATTTCTGGAGGCTGGAGGAAACAGGGGCGTGGATGGTTATTGATAATAACATTTCTCTGATGCAGGAAGACTTACAGTCAGTAACGGAATAAAGACCAACATCGGCTGGAGTTTACGATATGGTAAAAGGAAACGGGCAATGGAAACGTTTGAGTTTCCATCTTTTTTTGTGACAAGGTAAAATTAAATTGTATGGCTTTTTTCAAAATCAAACTTTTGAGTCAAACAGGTGAGCAGAAACTTTCCAAGTTTGTTTTTTGAACTAACGTTTGGCAACCTGTTGCTGCATCAGTTCAGAGACTTTGTAACAGTTTTTGTAACTGGTCATTAGCAAAAATACATCAAACTGTTTTCATGTCTGCCATTTATAAAAAGGAGGTAGTTATACGCACATCACCGCGGTGCAGGGCAGTGACAAATCAGCAGACTAAGGAAGAAGATAGGCCCACACACTCGCTCTAATGCCACGTCTCAACTGGAGGTCTTTGTCAGGTGATCTTTTTTTTTTTTTAACAAGGACGGGCGTCACAACCAGATATGTAGATTTCAACACCAATAGGCTGATAGGTGCTATGATGCCAGGTGTGGTCAAATATTCAAAATGTCTCGAGGTGAAACACATCTATAATGATCACCTTTCAAATATAACACCAGGAAAGTTACATGGTAAACATACAAAGGCAAAATCCATATTGTTATGTACTGAAGAAGACCTCTGGTTGAAACGTTGTGATGATGACTGAAACTTTTTGCGGCATTTGTGCGAGTGTGCAGGATTATCTTCTTCCTCTGTCTGCCGTTTATACCATAAAAATCTGAGAAAACTCCTGATCTGTGGCATTAGACTTTCTTTTGATAACCACTGTGTGTCTTATTTTGTGCATACAAAAAGTAACAGCTAGTAAGAAAAGGACTGATGATTGAAAATTAATGCTGTTGTTTAGCAGAAAAAAAAAACTTTAAATTACATGAATATAGCTTACAGCTGCAGAATAATCTACCAAACAAATCCACTTTTTCTATTAAGAACATCAAAAAACTTGTTGATGAATAAAAATTGCTCAGAAATGAGTCAGAGTTTATTGTGCTTAAGACGCATGTAACATGAGGTTTATCTGCACCAACTCATGTCATGTCATGTCTCCGTCTTTCTCTCTTACTTAGGTCTCTGTAAGACGTAGGTGAGGAGGAATGCCCGGAGAGACTCGATGCTGGTCTTTTCCAACAGGATCCACTCCCGCACCACCGCCTCCATGACAGCTGTGGCTGCCTGGAACAGCACATAGTCCACCTTGCTGGTCTCTGTGGAGAGGGAGGAGGAGGAGATGGTGAAGAAAAATGAGGATGGAGAAAAAATAATAAAAAAGGTTCGGTTGAACTACAGAGAGGACATTTGTAATATTGAGTTAACCTTCACTGACATAAGCGTGGTGAAGGACATTAATGAAGCTATCTTTGATATGTATTGGGGGGTTAATATGAGATAAATGTTGAGGTCATACGCAAACCTTACAATAGAAAGTTTGTGTCAAGAGAGGATCAGATCCTTATATATATATATATATATATATATATATGTACCAATACTGATATTTTTATGATCATAAGTAATAGTGTTATTGTTGGTCTTGTGTGTAAGTCTACACAAAGCTGTAGTAAACCCAGCATTGCATTACATTGGATTGGCTTCACTTACAAACAGAAGCAGCAACAGCTGTCAGGTTTTTCAAATGAAATGTTTGAAACTGAAGTGTAAGAATTGTACTTTCAATCTTATAGAAGTTGCTGCTCCATCTCTTCTGAACGTCGTCATGGAGATGATTTGAGTGTACTTCTTACAGTTCAGTCTGAACGTCTTCAAAGTGAGACTGTGCGAGCTGAGAATGTTTAAAGTGTCCAACCATCTTTCTTGTTCAGTGGCATGGATTGGGGCTGTCAGTCCGATACGTAATTTACGCCAATAACGGACCCGATACCGACATAAGATCGAATCGTTCCCACCTCTATTTGTGTCTTCCATTAAAGTGCCTTCCTTCCATTTAACAACTGTAAATGTTCCTTAGAGTAATACATGTAATGCCTATGCAAATGTAAAGTCTATGAAAACATAGTCCTCTATGGACTAAATCCTGTTTCTACAAATCATTTGGGCTAAAACAAGATGTGCATTATCATGATGGATGTGAAGAGTTACCTAATATGTGCTTGCAGATGGCGAAGGGGGATTTTGATTTCCTGAAGGAGAGGAATATGTGTTCAGCATGCTGCCTCTGTTCTGTGCTGACCATGGACGGCGGTGCCTGGGAACACAAACAAGCATTATAGACAAGGCTTAGTTTACTGAAAGGTTGTCAACATTTTCCTTTTTTTTTAACTTTCAATGGTATCGAAAAGTAGTGAAGATTTAAAACAGGCTCAATATTTTTTTTTTAACCAACCGTGAGAGAGCAGTGGAGGTTCATTCAAATTCACAGATCAGCAAATAGTCAAATACTGATATCTCTAACAAACAGGCAGAGAGCAGAGGAGGTTAAAGGTTGAGGTTATGGTTTTCTAAATTGCACACTCAAAAAATCCCAGAAATGTTGCCAGTGTTTTTGTGCAATTCAGACAGTGTGCAAGAGTCAACATAAATCGAGTCATCGTAACAAAAGTCGATATCAGAAAGCCTACCATAAAAACACACAAGACATTAGAGCATCAAAAACATGCAAAGAGAGCACAACTCGAATGCACACACAAACACAGACACACTCAGACACACAGACTTTTATTGAGTGTCGCCATGATACAGCTCTGCAGGAAAGTCACATTCCAGGCCTAATTGCAGTAAAAGCAGCTCTGCGGCTGAAAGCAGCAGAGGAAAGAAAGAGCCTTTTATCTGAGAGCACCACTCACACACAGACACACACATGGACACACACAAGCTTCAAGACATATAATATTCTATGGTGAGAGATGGCAGATACACAAAAGGGCAGGAGTAATCAAAATTAAGAATCCTGATAAAACCCAATAAAACAAAATCTCAGTGTCATCCGCAGAATACCTGAATTACAAAAACACTTTCAGTTTCATTCATATCATAATTCCATAAAAGAAACATTTTCATTTTTGAATAAAAGTGTAAAAAAACGTGTTTCTTTTGTGTGTGTTTCAGAAGTACTGAGTGAAGAGTTTTCGCATCTTTCAGCTGACTTTAATGATTTCATCGCCCACAACTCCACTGTTCAATCTTTATCTTATCCCTCTAAGTCAGTGTCATTTTCAGCCCCAACACATCACTTTTTTTCCAACAAATGTGGCGAGTTACCCCACTGCACATCACTTATTCAGCACCAACAAACAAGCAGACACACTTAAAGCCTAGCTGGTGAGAAGAGTCAAACGTGTGGCAGCTAAAAGACGGACAAATCAATCAGGAGTTGGTGGAGACCAAAGCTGAAGATAAAACAAAGTGTCTATTGGACCAAATTACGTCAAGAGGTCAGAGACAACACTCCAGATGAATGATCATTTTTCTCTGTGTTAGCCATGTGAGTTAAAAAAAAAAAAAAAAACTGTTGCAAACAGAATGCGTAGCCCAGATATTTTTAGGAAGACTTTTATGTTAGCCAACAGAGATTATACTGAACCATTAAAGGGACGTCCATGATGTTCAGACACTAGTGGTTTAACAGTATTTGTATTCGTCCCAAAGCATCACAGGCCGGACGTCTCAGTTTGTTGCACGCAGTCAGAAAACAAATACATGAGAGAAAACAGACGGTCACACATGGCAGTATCCACTCTCCAGTCTAGGTGGAGGTAAAACTTGTGACCGGTGGCTAACCAATTTCAAACAACAAATGAAGTAGATGAAGGCACACGCAACTTAAACCCACAAGAGGAAGATACACAGCAAGATGACACAGCAGAGCAAGAAGACTCGTCTGCTTTATTAAATCAATTGCTTGGGGAGACTTTGGGTTCACAGTGCGGTGTATCATTGGAAACATGTCGAACATGCTAATGAATATTAGACGGCATCCACCACATGTGCAAATCACTGGAGCTAAGCAAACGAAAACAGGTGTCCAACAACTTAACCCCGCTGTTTTTAAAAAGTGTCTGGACGTGAAAGCAGAGAGGGCGAAAGACGTAACCCGAAGTGAATACATTTTAAGGCTATGTGCCCATACGCAGTCGCTGAGGACCTTGGCTTCAAGTGTGTATTAAAAGTGCTCAAGCCTAGTTACAATGGACTATCCTGTACGCGCATAAGCCAGTCCGTCATCCTTCACTGGCATACACGAGCAGTCATTAAGCACCAATAACCACTGCACCCGCTGCTCACTAACAACTATGTGACCGCATACTTCATAAAAAATCCAAACCAACTATCACAGGTACTTCGAATTAGCACAAGATTGAACAAACTTGCACTTCTGTCAGTTCAAAATGAATTTGAGAACACGAGGAGAAATACGGGTCTTGGACTTCTTGTTGCCTTTTTTTCCCTGTTGAGCCGAACCTGTACCAAACAGTGACCCCAAAACCGAGGTACACCCCTAACAAAAAGAGCGCATCATTATGAAGATTTTGAGGACCATTTGTTCTGATCCTTATGATTTCTTCAACTTTTTTTGTGACAATTTAGATGTAGCCCAGATGTACAGAGGCTAGTCCCTGCCGCAGCAGCCGTGGATTCGAATCCGATCTCGGCTTTTTGCCGCATGTCATCCCTTACTCTCTCCTCCCAACGTTTCCTGTCTCTATATCTTCAGCTGTCCTATCAAATAAAGTCAAAAGTATCTTTAAAAAGACATTTTAAAAACAAGCAACTAGATGTTAGCTGCTTCACCAGCTGCTCACTAAAGTATTGCAGATGTTTCCACGTTGCCGTTACTATTAATATAGGTATACACTCACCCATGTATCCTGTTGAGCAGATATTTTTTAAAACCCTTATAGAGAGAGGATTTAACCTCAAAATGCAGTTAAACTCTGATGCATTTGGCAAGTCATACTTAAAACATAATAATTGTAGTGGTTTCACATTTTCAGGCTTACCCCCTGGTTTATAAAGCATCAGCAGATCAAACAACTGCTATTATGTTCTTCACAAACCCTTTCAAAATAAGTCCAGCTAGCATAGTTGCTTCTTCACCCACCTTCAACTTCATGTGTCTATCGCTAACATGCAACATCGTTTATATCTCTTTTGGGGTGAAGCTTTGCCCTCTCTATATATTTTATAAATAGTTTCTATTGATGGCATCCGATTGGTCGCCAGTGTCTCAAATTGTTGCCAATTGCAACCTGGTAACTGTTAGACCCTGAAAGTGAATAAATCAAAAGCAGCACTTTGCGCTCTAAGAAACACAACCTGAAACACACTAAATCAGGGGCCACATGCCCCCCCCCCCCCATCAATGTGGCCCTCAGTTCAATTTTGACATATCAAATAATTGGAATCATGAAGAGAACATGACAAAATCTATGAAATCATGACAACCAGAAGTATGTCCATAATAATATATGATCACTGGTACATGTTGAGTTAAATTTGAGACATAATTGACTGTAATCGTTTTTGGAAACTACAATTTGGCCCCAGTGAGAGTTACATGAATGTGGCCCTCGCTGTGACCAAAGTTAGTCCATCCCTGCACTAAATAAGATAAGATAAGATAAACTTTATTCATCCCAGCAGGGAAATGTAGGTGTTCCAGCAGCCAGCATACATACAAACACACAACACAACACATATATACAAACATATCCCACCCATACAAAAAAACATGAGCCCACAATACAGTTTGTTATATGATATATGCAACTCAGGCTAAAGTTTTAATGTCTTCTGTCCTTACTTCAACCAATCTATTATCCTGCTCCACTTCATTTGACTACACCGTTGAATTTGCAGTCTGTATTAAGTGAAGAGCTTTGCACTGAGTGGGTAAACACAGTGTGACCTTTAAGTAACACGTCTGATCAACCGAGACAACCACATTGTTTTATAAAACAAAAAAAATGTTCATTTAAATTCCTAAATCAAGGCCAGCAAACACCTGCTGACTCCAATGTGAGGGAGTACAGTACTTGTTTAGCTGGTTGTGGGCGCTCACATGTAGCAACTTAACCAACACTGGTGGTTAATGCCACATCTTAAAAAAAGTAAACAAAGCATTATTAGTTGGAAAAAAACCACAACATGGGAAAGCAAAATGGCAGAAATCAGACACTCATGGGATGCACATGGTTAGCCACTTGCTCTTAGCTGGTGTGTATTTAGTGTTGTTTCCTCCCGTAGAGAGTAAAGGGGGTGTTGGAAATAGTGGGAAATGAGACTAAATATGATTTTTAATAAGTGTTTTATTGGGTACAGGAAAAGCTAAGGCGACACAAACGGTGGAATCAAAAAACTTGACGTAACGTAACGTAACGTAACGTCAACGGCTTGGAAGGGACAGTGGCACGAGCCGTTAAAGTTTCCAGGGAAACAGTGTCGGCGATGTTTAAAGACGGTGGGGATAAAGGAGAGCTGATGTGATATGTTCGCGGGATGGAGAGAGGCAAAAGGAAAGGCGCCACGCATCGCTCCAACGGTGAGGGGAGAAAAAAAAAAAAACTCAACACATTTATCAACAAAAAACCAGGAAGACGCTAACAACCGCGCCGAACACCGCCTGACACATAGTCAACACACACGCACCTTCCGCTTACTCGTGGCTGGGGGAAAAAAAAGAGGTTAAATTTCATACCATTAAAACTTTGGCAGCGCTTTCCAGCTGTGTGATCACTTCTGGTGCACCGACCGCCGCCATCATCGTCCCTCTCCAATGACGCGCCATGCGCTCTGCATTGTGGGATTACAGCGCTCCTGGTACCCGGCAGGGGTTAAACCATAGACCGGTGTTATGCCGAAAAATGCATCCCTAGCAATAATTGCATTGCACCGCGCGGAAGTGTTAGGAAACGGAATGAATGTTATTTCTGGGGGGGGGGGCAGATATGTGATGACAAAGTATGTCAAGTTTATATCTAATCAAGGGGAGTCTCCTTAATCGTCTGTAGACTCGATAGAAGACGCATTTTCTTTAGCCTGCGTTAAAAAATGACCTGCAGACAGTGTTTGACTTTGACGTGTATGTAGATTAAATTAAAAGGTGGACGCAAAAATACGGCAGCATGTTATTTTAAGGGTATATGCAAAATTTCGGCCGTGTAGAAATTGTTTTCTGCCGTATTTTTTGCATTGTTCTGCGAGGTGCATGCAATTATCGGAAGGTATGCATTTCTCAGCGTAACACCTGTTTCAATCCCCGACAACTTCAGCGTGGCGGAGGCAGCGAGTTATAGAATCAAAGACAGGAGGATAAAAACCTAAAGTAACAGAAAATACAAACTCTCTCGCGTGAAAATACAAACTAAACTTTCAGGGGTGAGATAAGATCTATAATCAATAAAATACTGTCTGTGAAGTTTCCTATGGAACCTATAGCAATTATTTTGGGGGCTCTTTCCCTCTAATGTCCCATGGACAGAGGAATAATATACCTTACATTGTTAATATCTGCTTTTTGCAGCCCTGTTTTTTATGGCTTTTCTGAAAGGAAACATAAAAAGCTGAGGAATTAGGCTAATAACAAGCTACACTCAGAGGTAAACTAAATTTGTATTAGAAAATGTGGAAACTTTTCATGTATTTTCTATAGAATGGGAACCCCAATCAAAGATTATTGACGAGTGAACTTAAAGGGACCTGTGAAATACCTTTGAATGAATTACATTTATCTTACTTATCCTTATTTTTGTTATATCGTTGTCTTTCATTTTCTATATTTACTTAAATGTTAGTTTGTATTAATGAAAAGATACATATATTGTGCTTTAACCCATGTTTGTTTTCATACTCATTGTGCTCATTTCCTTTTTAGCTATGTAACTGTCATTATCAGTGGAGGGGTTTGGGGGAGTTTTAAAGAAGTTGACATGCCCTTAAAATCTTTTATACTTATTTAAAAACAAAAAAATTAAAGGTAAGCATCAACAGAGTGCTCATTTGATGACTTATTATCAATGTATTGTTGCAGCTGGTTGGAATGAAGCTTGTTTTTTAATACGAATAGGCAATATTAACTAGGATAATGTTTCATTTTTGTCTCACCTTTTTATTTGTAATATAATTTCACTAAAACTACCATCAAATGGTATGTCAAACACCATGGATGGTGTTAAATAATTAGTTTTTGATATTTGCTTTAGTGTGCTTTGAACATTTTTTAACTACCAGCAACCAACCATCGAATATGTAAATATTCAAGTATGGCTGAACATGACATCTTCCATGACTGACCAAAGAGCCTCAAATAAACTTAGAATAAATCAGACCTCAATGTTGGTTACTCTGAGAGGCTTTAACTGCAGTGCTAGAAATTTGAGTTCAGACGGATTTATCCCACAGGGAGGACGACAGATATGTACTACTACCTCCATCATTCAATTTAATATCAAACTCTATAATCTCTAACAGAACTTGTGACTTCTCGAGCTGACAGGCCAATAAAAAACATTTTCAAATAGAAAAAAAGAGGAAGTGAAGCAGGAGGCGTCAAAGTTGGTTAATTTAATTTATACATACATTTTACACACGAGGACTGTGAAAGCATTTTTACAAATTCTCATTTGATACATAAATGTAAAAAAAAGAGATCGCCGACATCATGCTGATGTCACAATACATCATCGATAATACTGCGTAGACATTTAACAATAGCACAAGGGGGAAAAAAAGATACAAAAAATATGTATATCTGTATAAATATAAAGGCAAGAGTAACAGGATTGTATCATACATTAAGGAAAATCCTCCTTAGAGTAAAAATACAAAATGAAAAGATACACAGGTACGTCTCGTGAAGATATCAAGTCAGTAAAAGATTGTCAGTCATCACTCTCAAACCTTAGAAACAGAAAACACACACACACACACACACACACATCCAGGAAAGCCCTCACACACTCTTTGATAAAGCTTTTTAGCCATGAAGCAGTCTGACCTGATATCAACAAAAACAACAAAGTCACTGAGAGGTTCAGAGGAGTGAAGGCACGTCTGGACCAGCTGAAAGAGGAAGTACGGGGAAAAGTGAAAGAACCAAACCAGCTCTGACTCAATCTGAGGATCAGGACGGTGACCGTGAGAGAGGCACCTCCAGATCCAGAACTCTCAGAGAGACTGGTTTGATTGATTTGGACTGCTTACAGGCCACACTGGCAATGTTTACATGCAACATCCTGCTTTACCACCACCGACGGTACAAATAGAAATCTGCGTCTATAGAGCCAATGTTTTAGACCCCTTTCCTCTGCAATGAGTTGAAGAAAAATTCTCAGTTAAACGGCATATTTAAGTCTGTTTAAGGGCTTTTTTTACCCCGACCATTAGTTCAAAACACCAGTTCAACCACTTTCTTTTTGAGAGTTTTATTTTAGAGATAGGACGGGGGATAGAGTCAGAAACCCAGGAGAGAGTGGAGAACGGCATGCAGGTTAAGGTGCCAAAGGTCAGATTCGAACCCGGGCCACCTGCTCACAAGGACATGAGCCTCTGTACTGGGGGCACGCAATAACCACTAGGCTACCGTCGCCCCCAGTAAAACCACTTTCATAATGCATTTATCTTCAATTTATATTTCTTGTTTATTTAGTCTCACGGTCGCAGCTTTACGTTTGTCTTTAACGTCTTGAGCTGTTGTTCATCGTTCTCTCTAATTCCCTCCTCCTGACTTCTGCCTTTTCTGATCCGTGCGCCTGTTACTTAAGAAGGATGTGCTCTGCATGTAATCAAAGCCTGTGTGTGTGTGAAGCATGCTCTGTCCACTTCTCTAGAAGAGCAGTAACAGGCAAAAGAGGTCTGTGAAGGAGAGATTATAAAGAGAAAGCAATCTGTTAAGATTGTGCTGCTCATTAAGAACACAAGGCACATTTACAGAAAAAAACAATCTTTCAATACATTGTCGAGCAAAATAAAACAAAAAATAAAAAAAATCTGTCGTAACAAATCTTATCCACACATTTTCACTCATTCTGCCGGTTACACATCAGAGAATCAAACAGGTTGTGACTCCTGAAGCACCCCCGGTCCAATACTAAATACTGTTGGAACAGTTTGGTATCAAATGACCAAACAGTTCATCACGACTCAACGAGAGCAGTTATGGTGTTTGATTGTCAATAAGCAAGACGATACGGGGTGATAGTGTTGTCAAACTAGGACATGGCACAGCTCTGTGGTAAAGAACGGACACTCACACTGGTGCTCATTTCGGATAAATAAAGAAAATGTACCAAACTGATACTCTTTGATGAAGTTCTGCTTTTGTTAAATACACAAAGCTATTTATTCTTTTTTTCAGATTACAATTCCTGAAGCCAACCTGCCTCTCTCCTCGTCGTCATTTTAACTTCTGTCTCTCCTCTGATCCATCTCTCGCCCTGAACTAGAATCCTTTCTCTCCCGCAGTCGGGGCCAGCCCATCTGCAGGAGGTGAAAGGAGTCTACCATCCATGTTTCTGCAAAACACACCGCTCGTCATCGTTAGTCCCCAGCGTCTCCTTCGTCGTGGAGGGGCGACGCGCACGCCGACATTCAATTAGAAAGGCACACAGCTCATTACTTTCAAAAAAACCCAGGCACACATGGCAGCTCGAGCCAACACTTCTTCAAGCCAAAGAAAAACAACTGTAACAATTATAATAATAATAATAATAATAATAATGTAAATAATATTAACCACAATAATAAGCAGCATGTTGTAACTGAAAAAAGAAAATATAATAAACCAATATATTTGTACGTTTCAGTACAAAAAAACAAAAAAAAGAGATATTAAGTGTTTAGAAAACTATAGATAATGTATTTTTTGTATTGCACATTCAGTCATTCTATCACGTTTGTTGTTGTTGCTTTGTGTTGTCATGACGGCCTCCAGGAGACCGGAGGAGGCTGGTGACGTTACGTCATAGTGAGTGTGTGTTAGAGTTTTCATCCTCAGAAAGCGATTCAGTCCCATATGAGCATCTCCGGCTCTGATTTCTTTACGTTTTCTTGAAGCAGTTTCAGTCTATAGATCCGTTATTGACCTAAAACAAAGCATTGAAGCAACCTGCAGCTTGGGTAAACAAGAAGTAGAACGTGATCACGAGCAATCGGATAGCATCCCGACTGAGACATCTGAAGCGTTTCAAAAGAGCTCCAAAGTCGATTTGCAAAACCTGCTTTTTCTGTGGTCATTTTAGGGTCCGGACTTTCTTAAAACCATTCGTGTACGCCAGGAAAAAAAAAAGAATTATTGCTGGCTGTCTGTACAAGACCTCAGAGTAAGATAAATAGTAACAGGAGGCCTTGCAGGAAAACAAGTGTTTTTGTAACAGTAACCTCTGAGAGAAGTAGAATCAGGCTCCATTAGGAATCTAAAACAGGAAACTGGATCAACTACATTTGGCACTAAGGTCGTCAAAATGTTTGATACTTTAATACTTTTCAATACCACGTGATTAAAAAGGTAAAATCTAGTTTTTTTTACTAATCGATAGAAGCTTAAAGGGCCGAAGATTAAAAAAAAAAACTAAAAAACTACAGATCTTCAGTTATAGATTGAACCAAAAGAAAGAGAGAGAGCACAGTTGAGAGTGCACAAATACAGAACTGGTGTTTTGCTAAAATGTATTTGTGGTATCGAAGCAGGTAGAAAATATGGTTTGATTTTTACTAGAGTCTAAATGTTTTTAAAATTCTGGTAGCATGACGACCCTTATTGTCACATAATGAGGCAGCTTTGGATATATTAGATGAAAACAATGTTTTTCGCTAAATGGATGTAGATCTTTAACATTTGATCAATTTGATCAAATTTGAGCAATTCAAATGACACAGAAAAAAAAAAAAAAACCTGATGTTGCCAAAGGGACGCATATCATCTCAGAGCCTAACTTTTCTGCTGAACAACTATGTCTCTGTGATGCGTCTTTGCTCGAATACGTTCTCCATGTATTCTGACTTCATGAAACGTTAACATGAACACTGAAATCTTTCAATCGTTGTGGCAACACAACTATTTTTCCACCCTGCACCTAACCCTTACAGGATAACTGTATGTGAATGTGTGCACGTGCATGCATGTGTCTTTGTAGCTTATTTTGCAGCAGCTGTGAATGAGGCGTGCTCCTTATTCAGTTCCCCCCCCCCCTTTCCCTCGCAATCAGCTGATTCCATTCCTCATTTTTCCATGTCCAATACTGGGTGTAAGACACAAGGGTGGAAGGAATGGGACAAGGAAGCAGTCCTCACATCAGACATCTTTGATCCAGACATCCTCTTCTTAAAAGTCTTGTATCCGCCAATGCTTCACCGATGTGTAGTCAGTGTTGTTTCTTGGTCCCGGATCAGGGGAGTTTTGCTTTTGAAGTCGTTGTGGAAAAACTATAGATTCCACAAGGTGGCGATGTTTGTCAATCTTGCTCCTGCAACAATCACACACGCCAGATCTGCATTAACTCACACAGACACACCTGTGCAGCCTTTACACACAGACAGAAAGTAGAGCAGGTGGGAAGGTCATGGGCTGGGGATGAGCATTAGTCGGCAGTAACAAACACACGCCGCTCAGGTATAGTTCTAGACGTAAACCGGCTCACACCCCTCCCCCTGCTCTCCCTCCTCCCCCATGTCTTCATCGTCCTCCTCCTCTTCTTCTTGTTCGTCATCCTCATCCGGCCCCATGCAGGCGGCTCCGCTGATACTCTGCGGCCCCTCGCAGCTCTCGGGAGGTTTAGGGTAGCGGAAGGGGCAGCCATTGTCGTCGAAAAACCTGCGGAAGGTGAACTCATAGAAAGCGTGCTCTGGGTGCTTCCCGTGTGGCGAGCAGAGCATGTCCAAGGCCCTGGTGCTGTCCCCGCTGTCGCTCCATGCCCCTGGGCCGCCCTCCTCCTCCACAGGGTCAAAGTTAGACGTGTCCATCGGATGGGCGATCTTGGGTCTGTAGGGCGCCGGTTGCTGCCGCAGATTGCTGGAGAAGTCCATCTGGGAGAAGAAAGGGTGAGCCTTGATTTCACCTGCACCGTTTGAACCCACGCGATCCTCCGCAGAGCAGCAGAGACGACCGATGATGTCGACCGCCTCAGGGCTCAGTTTGACCTGAGCCGGCACCTGCAGAGTACTCTCCCAGTTGATGACCTGCAGAGAGGAGACACGATACATGAAACAGAGAAAAACAATATGAAAACCCAAGCAAGATAAAAATGTATAATTAGCATTTTTGTTGAATTCAAAAGTTTGAAGTTTAGTTCGAAGGTTTGTTTTCTAAGATGTCTCTGCTCAGAGTGAGATGTGACTGTATTTGTCTAAACGCTCCTGTGACTCTGATTGTTTTCCCTTATTGTCTTCTTTCAATAACTCGGTCGGCTGTGAAACTGAATTGCCCTTCTGGGATCTTTAAAGTTGTCTGACTCTGAACCTGTTGGATGTTGTGTTTTCTTACATTTGGTTTTCTTAAGAACAAAAAAGCACTTCTTTAACTCAGATTCACATGCTTCCTTTGTTTTGTAGCTAGCTGTTGCCGACTGATTCTAAAAGCCTCTGCCTTCACCTGGCCACACATACTGAACATAACGGAAAAAACCCTTTAAAGATTTTTGGTGAACTGCTGTAAACCTGATGTCTGAGTCAGACTTAGAACAGAAAGAGGTGGGCAGAGGGATATAACATGGCACTGTGTGTGGGGTGATACAGGGACGTCAGGCAGGCATTGAACCAACCACTGGTAAATATATTCACCTTCTAGTTGAAAGTAGTTCACACTGACCTTAATCTGAGTCTCTGTTGGTGTGGAGGCCAGGAAGGGCGGCTGTCCCACCAGCATCTCAAACAGGATCACTCCCACGCTCCACCAGTCGCACAGCTGCGTGTAGCCTGCACGCAAGATGAAAAAAAAGAAAAATCAATCTATCACTCTAAAGATTAAAGTTTCTTTCCCTTTGATCCAGAGTTTAGCAATTGATGATTCTGAGCCGTTGTATTTCAAATGTGTTTTTTCATTTTGATTGTTTTAATGTGTTTCTTATCTCCACGGCACGGAAATGAGCGACGCCTCAATGCCGATGAATTTTATAAAAGAACAAGGATTTTGTTGAGATCAGCCAAATCCATTTTTTTTCAAACAATTTGCATGTTGTCGACCACTCAGTTGACGCCAGCTGTCATTATAGTTGCTAACCTTTAAATGTGCCAACAGAAGTGGTCAGCCTCTTGGTCTTGTTTGCCTTCACTTTATTCTTGCTGAAAATAACTGTACCTTTTTTTTTAAAGCTCTGAACTGACCTGTTACACTATTTAACCACGGCCTCTCGTGGTTGCTGCTGCAGCATCTTCATTTAAAATACAGGTTGTACTCTCAGGCAGAAACTCTGCTGCTGTTTCTGCTTTAACCATCCATCATATTCTCACCCACCTTTGCGCAGCAGCACCTCTGGTGCGATGTAGTTTGGTGTTCCCACCAGGGAGTGAGCAAGGCAGCGCTGATGCTGCCGGTTGGCGCGCTGCTCCAGTGTCATCAGGCGGTCACCACAGCGACAGTTTGACACGTCGTCCCAGAAGTCACTGGGCTCCATGCTGTCCTGTCTGACGTGGCTCCCTAGAGACAGAAAGAGGGGAAGATGATGTTGAACTCCACACAGAAAACATTAACAAAGGATTAGCTGGATGGGAAAGTAACAGGTTTTTTGACAGCACTTTAAAAGTCCTTTAAGAAAAGAGTTGAAAAGGAACCCTCAAGCTCTTTTTTTCTTCAGAACATTTTGAGAATAAATAAAGACTGGGCCTCAGGGTCAGAGAAAATAAATAGCATTTATATCAAATTATTTGTGGGTTAGTGCGAGTGCCCCATTTACAGAGGCTATAGTTCTCTAAGCAGGCGGCCTGGGTTCGAATCCGACCTGTGGTTCCTTTCTTCATGTCATTACCCACTCTCTCTCTCCCTGAGTTCCAACTCTATCCAATTCCCTGTCCCTCAAATAAAGACACAAAAAGCCCAAAAATAAATCTTTAAAAAAAAAGAAAATAAATTATTTGCCATTGTAAATCAGGGAAAGCGAAATGTAGTTTTAAGAAAAAGCTATATTTTGCAGTATTTCGATACATTAGTGCAGCCTACATGTTTACAAAAACCACTGAATCCCTCGATAAGAAATTGTCAGATCATGTGTGAGTTTGTTTGGATATTTTTTTGCGGCGTGCTGCATCAGAGTTCAGCACTAGAACATCATCACTATCTGCCTCACCTTTCTGGTAGTACTTGGAGTTGTGCGTCCAGCGGAAACCTGTGCACAAACCAAAGTCGGTAAGTTTGATGTGTCCGTCCAGGTCGATGAGGATGTTGTCGGGCTTGATGTCTCGGTGGATGAAGCCCATCTTGTGCACGCTCTCGATGGCCAGCGTCAGCTCGGCTATGTAGAAACGCGCCAGTGGTTCGGGGAAGACGCCCATCCTGATGAGCAGACTCATCATGTCTCCTCCGGGGATGTAGTCCATGACGAAGTAGAGGCTGTCGCGGTCCTGGAAGGAGTAGTAGAGACGCACCACCCACTCGTTGTCTGCCTCAGCCAGGATGTCCCGCTCTGCTTTCACATGGGCAACCTGCACCGAGAAAAAAAATACTAATTTCAGCTTAAGCTTCTATGCAGCAAATCACAATCAATGACATTTGTCTTTGTGACTGGTTTAACTTAAGACTACTTTGAAACATTTGTGTCGCAGAAAGTTACCTGGTTGCGGTTGAGGACGTCTTTCTTGCGCAGTGTCTTCATGGCATAAAGTGCTCCAGTGTCCACCTTTCGGGTCAGACAAACTTCACCAAAGGCACCGATGCCAAGAGTCTTGATTTTGATAAACATTGACTTGTCCATTTTGGCTCGGCGTAGCCTGTTGTAGTTGGACTCTTTCTGATTCAGCATCTTCCTCATCTGCTCCTGCTCTGCTTCTGATAGGCCGGCCTGTGGGGGAAGGACAGGGGTGTGGAACACATGGTGAGATGACTATCAAGACCTTTTCAGAAACAACTGCAAAACAAGTTAATGTGGCACGACTTGAACCCAGTGACCTGTTGAATTGAGCTGATTATTTGACACTAAACTGTCTGGGTTAAGCTTTTGTATGTTTTTTTTTTGTGGTTAAAATGCCGTTTAGCCACTTCAAAGTAGGTCAAAAGGGCTAAGGGCCAAAGTCATGACTCAGGACAAGCCCATGCAAACATTAAGAGTGAACTCACTGACTTCCCATTCCTGCACAAAGGTCTTGCTGTCTAAAATAAAAGTCCTGAAGGACAATTCTCTGCATGACAACCTCCTGGACATCACTTACAACCAATTATCATTCTTGTCTCAGGAGACAAGAACATCACCAGTGCTAAGAAATTTATCCCGGATCATTTTGTGAATCATGTTGCCGAGTCAAATTATTGATTTTCTATCCGAGGAAAGCCATTATATCGCATTATGTTGCTGACGTTTGTTCCAACCAGGAAGTCTGAAAACTTGTCATATTTTGAAAAATGTAACCGATGTGCTATCTTGATCGGGCCTTCCTGGAAAAGAAGACCTCAGTCTCAGGAGAACTACTGGTTTTATCTAGAAATTTAGGAGAAGAATTTGTGTCAACTTTGTTTTTTTTCTGAGAAGTATGTTACTACTTGCATAATAGTCCACGTTACATAATGAGAGTTTGAGACAAAGTAAACATAACAGCCTTGTTTTCAACTATTTCCTAAGCCCTTGAAGTCGTTTGTTAGATTGCCTGATATGCACTAAATCAAAGAGCTGCCTGGATTTGTTAAAGTCAGTCTGAAACTTGAAGTACCATTTTACTAACTTTAAAAACAAACTAATATTAAGAAGTACATCTAATTTCTTATTTTACTTTTATTGCAAAAAGTGCACCAAGAATCATTTGTTCTGAATCGAGTATTGATAGAGCTATCCTTTCAGTCATTTTTCAAGCAACAAATGTCCAAGTTTTGACTTTCCCTAACTCTGAATGTAGAGGTTTCTGCTCGTCTTTTATAATTGAAATAACATTAAAAGACAAAGCCTTTGGTTTGTAGACGTTTGGTTCAAGTAAAAAAAAACATCTTAATTTCCTTGTGTGTGCTGTTCTATAAAAAGTTTTATACAAATGTCGCAATAATTGAATTAGAAGACAAGCAGTGAAAATGTATCATGCTGTAAAAAAACATGCAGGGGTTATGTTCAGTGCTTAAATATTGTTTGACGCTTTCCTGTGGCTTTCTCATTCAGTGTGAACTGGGGAAAAGGGCGTTGAAATATGCTGCCCCCTGTTTTTAATTACATAAAGATCAGACACTTGATTAGCTGGTCTCATTCAATGTTTTTAAGGTGAGTTTAAATGACTTAGAGGCAGGGACATCTGGCTGTTGATGTTCTGTCGAACATATATTTTTGGATGTGGTTGACTGACAAATATTTATATTTATATATTTATATCATATACTCATGTGTCTTATATGATATTAGTATGTATTACTGCACATTACTTGCTTTGTTATCAGTGCTGCTGCCTGTCTTGGATAGAACACTCTTTACAAAAACAGTTTTTTCAGCCTCTTTCTCCCGGTTAAATAAAGGTTATAAAAAAAGATAATTCAGCAGCTTGCAGGGAGATCGCTAAAGGGCTGTCTTACCTTTGACATCTCTTGCTCCAGTTGAAGCCTGCGGTTCAGTTTCTGCTGGTGCGTCTTCATCACGTTCTCTATGTGCTGCTCCATGTAGAATTTGAAAGCAAACGGTGAGTAGGTCTTGATGCGTGACTCTCTCTTCTCCTCATCACGTCCGTTCTTCCTCACAGGCACAGGTGACGTCTGGATCTGCTTCTTGTCTTTCACTGCTTTTTCTCCCTTTCCCATCTTCGTCTTCTCTTTCGACTGCTGGCTCTCCTCGCCCTTTCCACTCCCTCCACTGCCGCCGTGGGTGTTTCTGGCTGCAGGGTTATTCAGGTGCGGGGCTCCACACATGTCTCCTGCTCCTTCCAGGGCTCCGGGCTCGCCAGCTGCCCCGGACATGAGCAGGTTTTTGGGGTAAGGTGGTGGTGGGCAGCGTGGCTCCTGAGCAGGCTCCAGAGGGTAGGTCTCCTCGGGCATGTAGCCCAGAGACTCGGCTGCTTCCTGGGTCTGAGCCGTCATCCACCCTGGGTGACAGGGTCCCACGGCAGTCTTTGGCTCTGGTCTCATCACACGGATGCTCTTCACTGGCTGCTGGATGGGCGGGGACGTTACAGCTGTCATGGTGTTTGGTGGGCCCAAAGAGGGGTCCTGTTTTCCTGCTGGAGGTGGAGCAGCCATCGCTGGTCGGACACCATTTGGACCAGCAGAGCGATTGTTGAAGGAGTTGGTTCTGCTGGGGACCCGCACCTCCCCCCTAAATGGGCCCTGAGGCTGGGGCTGCCTAGCTGGAGGGGCCCCTTCTGGACCTGGAGGCCCGGCCCAGTGGTGCTCATACAGGTCCAGGTTGAGGCTCGCCCTAGATGGGGTCATCAAGCCCTGCGGCATGTCGGAAAAGTCTGGGCCCATGGTTGTGACTCCACCTGGGGAGCGGGACATCATGTGGACCTGGTGGGACGTGGGGCTGGCCTGGCGTGGGTGGGAATGAGGGGGCAGATACAGGTTTGCAGGGTAACCTCCGCCTCCTCCTCCAGGACCATTCTGAACCATGGCCCCCTTTCCTTGCATGTTGACGTAGTTATCAGGGGGCGCCATTTGAGGCGGTGCCATCTTGTTCTGAAAGGAGGCGGTCCTCTTCACTCCATAACCTGCGGGCTCCATCATGTGTGGCCTGGTATGGCCATAATCATAGTGTGGACCAGGAACAGGGCCCCCTGGTGGCTGAGGCTGGAGCTGCAGAGGCTGACCAGGGACGTTGTAGCTCATCATTGGGCCATGCTGTTCCATACCACCGGTGTAGCCTTTCTGTGGCGCCCCTGAAGGGTACATGTTGTTGGGCTGGTTGCCCTGGGGGGCCATCACCGCTGGATAGTTGCCCATACTGGGAGGTCGACCCATCGGGTTTCCCATGGCAGGACCCTGTGCTGCACCAGAAGGAGGCATCATGTAGTTCATCACAGGGGGAGCGCCCATGTAGGCTCTGGACATCTCCCCCTCAGGGCCGTAACCAGCTGCCCCGTCATACATTGGAGCCCCCATCTGGTGGTACGGAGGCATGGCACCCGCTTCCCCTGAAGCCTCTAATGCAGGGCGGTGGTCCATTGAGTTTGGCATGCCAGCTTTACCTGAAAGTACAAGGAATAACATCAGACAAAGCATTAAGGAATATTAGCAATTTACTCTTAAATGTTGTCCTAAAAAGGGACTTGAGGTTGTATTTGTACCTGGTGAAGTCTGCTTGATGACACGGACGATGAGCTCATTGCGGGGATCAAGGTAACCCATTTTGCTGATGTACTCTAAGGCGGCTTCGATATTCCTACTCCCCGTCTGCTTTAGCGCCCGCACAGCCATCTCCTGGGAAGCAAACACAATAAAAGCCATGTTTAGAAACTCATAAATACCCCGCTGTTACAACCAGTGTGTTTTTAAGGGACTTTAAATGCATGGAATTAATTTAGATAAATTAGAAAACTTTAATAAACTTGCTAAATGGCACTGAAAAAAAATATATTAAAAATTTAGCCAGCATTTAAAATGCATTACCGGTAAGTTAGAATCCTCCCAGCTGTAATATGCCCATTTTAATTTAACAAAAGACTTAATGTTGTCAAAACAAAAGCAACTTAAATAATTTGTCTAAATTCACAGTCTACAACTGGAACCCAAATCTGGATCTGTTTGAGCAAAAAAAAAGCAAACAAAACTAAAAATCCAGCCAAACATTCAGAACCTGCTTTAAGATCTGATAAACACACAATACTTTGAAAATAATCTACAAGACACACAGCTGCAGGGATCTACACTCAATCACACAAAATCAAACACAGACAGACATCGTCCAAAGTGAGGATGAAATTGCTTTAAATGAGCCAAAAACACAAAGTCACACAAGTGGCCCAGTAGGTGCTCAAACACCTGCATCCTCTCCACTCAAGGTCACATACCAGTGACTTCCTGAGCCTCCTCCAACAAACAAAAACAAACCAAAAATGAGATCAAATTACTTAAATTTCTGTGAATACTTTCTTCTGAATATTTTAAAAGTAGGGAGATTACAACCTTTTAAATATCTGTTTGGTGTTCGTTGGGGAATAGACTTGTACTGTTAAAACATACCCGACAAATAAATTCTAATGCTCAAGAAAATGGGAATGGAAATGGTGGGAAAATGATGAGCAAACAGATCCTTAGTCAGCGTGAAAGCATTAAAGAAAACTGAGCCAAAGTAATTATCATACCAGCGTTTGATCATTTGTAAAGAGTGCGACTCTTTCCTGTAAATGAGTCAGTAGTTGTAGTGTAGCAGAAAGGGTGTGGTGCTGTGTGCAGCCAGGGGAACAAACAGACAAGCTTTAGTAAGTTCACACTAGGCCCAGTTGTGCAGTACTGTGATGAAGCACGATGACCCCCCCCTTCCCATTCCCCCTGCTGGCATTCAGGACTGGGCCTGAGCACGGTTACCTCTAGTACATCACGTCGTAATACAACACATGCATGACTTTACCTTACAGACTCAAAAATAAAAACGGACGCACTGTTGGGTCCCCGCCTTCACATCAGCGAAAAGCTCAGAGAACATGACAGCTACTTTACTGACTTTGTGGCTTATTTTGAGTCATTTCAGTCAGATACAGCCAGAACACTCCGGGATTTCATTTGATAATGGAGGTGGGGAAGCGCACATCTTTCAAACCATGCCAGGGCCAAGGAAGTGTACTGTGCTTTGGAGTACTCACACTAGTCAAACAAACTTGACTTTGAGGGTGAAGCGTGCTTAGGAACAGTATGGATAGCCTAGTGTTAGTGTGCATTAAGAGTGACCAGAAAGAGATCCCTTCAACCCACTATGCTGGTGTTTCTGCAAGTTTTAGCTAATAAATATATATTCCCATAAATAAAGAGCCAAACAATTCTCAAATGTTGGAGAAGGGATTTTCCATTCATAAATAGTTCCCCACCATTTTATAATAAGATACTAGAAACATTTTATTCTCATTTAATAAAAGCTTGTTTCTGTGACTGAGGTGCTTCCATAATGTCTCCTGAATGTCCCATTCTTCTTCATCCTTCTGGAAAATGTAGTAACCTTTCATAATCTGCCTCTTAACTCTCCCTCCTCTCTGATACACACAGGTGGGGCACGGGCAGCTCATCCCAGGCTCCAACAGGTGGCCCCCTGTAAAAGCCCCGAGGTATTTAGGTCACCGATGTAAAAAATGTTTCTTAACCACTCTGGCATTTTCTATTCATTGGCCGCCGTGTAATTTATGATCGAGACCGAGCAGCAAAAATGTGAAGGGGGGGGGCGGACACTCAGCGCATTCTTTTTAGGTTTACACTTTAGCGAGCGGCCGGTCATTCCACCGGTTCTTGTGCAGGAGATCTCATCTGCCCCAATAAAGAATCCATTTAACCACACATGAAGTCTCTGTTATATGTAGTGAGGTTGCAGCAGAGACAGAGAAACGTTGGGTAGCAATTCTTTAGTGTGAACCAATAGCAACATGAGATATTTGGGGGCCGATATCAGGAAGCGAATAAATCTGATACGGATATATCGGCCGATACTTTCTTAGATCTGTCTTCGATCTGTAGAGATAGACAAGTATAGAAATACACATTTTTGGCATTGATCCGTCAAATGCAGTTGTCAAACACTTGTGGAATAGATACACAGTAAAAGGAAGACAAGATCAGTCTCTCAACTGGAACGTCACTGAGCATGACGGCTCGACCCTGTTATAGGGACTGATAATGCACGTTGTAATCCACATAGTACAGTTTGATGGTGGCAGCCAGAAAGAGAACTGCTGGTGTAATACAATGAAACTGAAATGAAATGCTTTTTGACTGGTGAATAAATCGAGTGAAATCAGACATAAAATTAGCCGATACCGGCCGATATTTTCAGCTGGCCGATTAATCGGTCGGTTTTTCCAATAAAAAAAAAATGTTTCACAGCTGTCTTTCTATCTCATTTTGAAATCGATCTTTATAAGCCAAATGTCTTCTCATAAAACTTTTTTCTTAATTAAGGAACTAATATTGAATCATTTCACAATCATGATATTTGTTAAAGTCAGTCAAGCTTTTATTCTCCACGTTGTGGAGCCTTCATCTTCATGAACTTTCCGTCTTCTTTTACGATAATAAACACGTAAACAAACAAACAAAGCTGTGTGGTGAGATAAACAAAACTGAAAATCTGGCTTCCCCTCTCCGGCTGAGGGACCCACACCTACATGAGGAAATCCCCCCATATGGCAAATGACCTCACTGCAAAGACATTTTAACTCAGACCTCTGCCCAGCCGGCCCTGCTGCTCTGGCAGAGCCGCCATTCAGCCAACAACACCAAGGTGCCTCTGCTGGACACATTCAGAACTGCAGCCATGGTGTACACAAGGAGTTCAGGAATCAGGACAGAAAATCAAGTAGACACTTACTTTAGTCTTAAAAAATCAGTAACTTAAGTCTTTTCACATTAGAAAAAATGAAGCCCGGGTATCCAAAGCAAGTGGATGCAATGGTCTCTCCTCTCTGCTGCTCCTCCCTACATGGACTATTAAACCTGCAGCCAATTCAGACCCCTGCTGCCAGATCTCTAACAAGAACCAGGAGAACTGAGCACATTATTCCTACTCTTAAATCTTTACAATGGCTTCAGGATCATTTCTAAAGATTGTAAAGCTCTGCCCTAGGTTCATAAATCACTCAGCAGCGTAAAAGTCAGATAGAGGGGCCTCAAACCAGAAGAAAAAAAAGGATTTAACAAATATTCCTCTTACAGACGGAACCAATTCTCTGATTTTCTGCAAAGTAGCTTTCCAGTTTGAAAACCCAGCTCCTCCTGTTCTGCAGTTTTTCTGCCATTTATCACATCTGTTGCACTTTTATCTGTTATGTTTTGGCCACCTTTAAACGTGACAGGGACTGCTCTGAAACTATTCACATTATCTGCCAGTTTATGAGGTTAACCGAGCAGGAACTGCGCTAAATATACGCTAAATATGTCCTGTCTGGGTCTATTGAATAAAATTTGTTGGGCAACACTGACCTGTGCTAATTTAACTTTTTAAGGGGAAGGCAACTTTCTTTGTTGGTACAGTTGGTCGTCTCTCAACCGAAAGGTCGGAGGTTTGATCCCCAGCTCTTGCGGCCACATGTCCGATGTGTCCTTTGGCAAGACACTTAACACCAAGTTGCTCCTGCAGCTTCGTCTGCAGTGTATAAATGTGTATGAATGGGATTAGCTAATACTGATGGTCAGTTTACATAAAAACCTCTGCCATCAGTGTGTGAATGTGTAGGTGTGACCTGCGGTGGAAAAGCGCTTTGAGTAGTCAGAAGACTTAAAAAAAACGTGCTAGACAAGCTCAAGTCCATTTACTTAGATCAGGATCAGGGACGAAACCCCTCGTATAATGGGAATTTACAAACTTTATTTATGGCCTTAAAGTGGAATATATCATGAATGTGTTTGGTAAGCATCATGATGTGAGTAATATGAGCCTTATATAGAGAATTGAAATCCCTGAGCAGCCATTTTCGGCCCTTCTGTCTGCAGATTGTCAGACAGGCCGACAGTCTTTGTTTTCTGGGAGGGAACCAAATCAAACATTAATGGTTTTAAAGTAGGAACACAGAAACCGTGGGCACAGTCAACTCTGAAAGCCAGGAAATGCCAAGGCCACACACTTTTCGATGTCCCCTATTGTGTGTTCGTGTGTGTTGCATCAATCAGTGTGTCTGAAGGTGTAAATAGAAAACTGCATGCAGCGTGCACAGGACTGCTTCACCCCCTGCCGCTGCACATGGATGTTTACGTACACGTACATAACTATGTTCCTGAGCCTAGGACAGACCAGGCACACACACACACAAACACACCACTGTTTATACTCTGCTTCCTGTGTGTACGCATATGTGTGCGTCTGTTGCATTCCTGCGTAACCAGTAGAGAGAAAGAGAGAGAGAGAGAGAGAGATCTGGCTATCTGTGATCTCTCTCTCTCTCTCTCTCTCTCTCAGGGTTTTAACTTCCTATGCGCCACTCCTCTTCCTTGTTTTTTGGACTAAAACATTTTCTTCTTCTTGTATTTTGAAGTTATATTTCAATGGAATTAAATCAGAATTACTGACATGATGTTCATGCATAGTCCCACAAATGTTCATGCATAGTCCCACAAATGGTTTGGTGTCTCAGTGTGTGTTTATGTGCTGGGTGGAGGCTGGTCTGGTGACCCCGGCTGTCATGGCGACAGATGTTCTTCCCTCGAATTCCTCAGCCCAGGAAGCAGGAATTCAAGCTATTTGCATTTCTGGATAATTTCCCTCCAAACTCTCTTTCGTCTCCACCACATTGGCACCCTTGTCATGATGGTTTCGTGCCGCTAACCGGGTTATCCCATAATGCATAATCACCAACTCACAAACACCAAACGTGCTCTGATAGACTGACATAACAAACACAATCACAAACTGAGTTACCCTTACAAAAACTCTCTTTTCACAACGATGTCAACAACTTTATCATCACTGTCTTTTTTATATGAAATGTCTCTTAAATTCTGACCCAATTCTGACGGAAACAAATTCCAGTGTGGGACTCTGAAAATCAAAGCCATATGGAGGATGTTCGGAGCAGGGTGCAGATGGATGAACAGGCCGAGCGGGATGTTCATCCAAGAGCGAGGCCATAAGACATATCTCTCTTCCTTATTTTACTCATTCAAGGCGAAAACTTGCAAATTCTTACAGTGTGAGCTGGGGAAAGCCACGTCCTCCACCCCAACACACAAACCAGGAATGCAAACATGCACACATTGCTTCAAAGTCACGTCCTGTTAGCTTTATCGTTACATAAACACCACAGTGTTTTCCTGCTCACACGTCAAAGGCTTTAATATGCTTAGCGTGCATCAGATTCCTTACTGGCCACAGTTTGTACTGTACATACATACATATACAGTAAGGGGCCTGTGAAGATGGCTGAGATTCTCAGGGAAGGAAAACACCCCTCCTTCACTTCATTTCCTTTCTTCCCCCGTCATCTCCATGCGTGGCATGTACCCCCACCCTCGCTCCCCCTCAAAAACATTTCCTCCTTTAAAAAAAGAAAAAGAAAAGTTATGTAACAAGCCACATTGCTCTGTAATTTGCAGCTGGAAAAGATGGGAGAGACTAAATGGAGCAGAGAGATGAGGTTAGCTGATAAGAGTTGGGGCTGTCTCAACAACAGAAGAAGAGGACAAAGAACATATGTGAGGGGTGTTTAAGGATAACCCCTAACCCACTTTAGAATAGAAACAAAGGATACTCCAAACTGGCAGCCTAAAAATGGAGGCTGACAATTTGAGTCCAAATTCAGCAAGAGCTGAAAGACATCCAGAGCAACAACACAAATGGGTTGTGGATGACAAACAGACATTGAATAGTCAAGGCTTTTTTTTATATCTTGTTTGTGAAGGGACCGTCTACAAAGTTTAACATTATTGTCACCATTTGATGCATTGCACCAGAGTTAGCTTGAAGCTGATTTTCATCTGCAGTTCTTTGGCAGATGTGTTAACAGTTCAAGTCTTTTTCACACATGAAATCCAAACATTTTATGGATACATTCAGGACAATCAGGACCTCATATTTTCAGAAACATTCCTTTACATATGCACCTCACAGCGTGAGATTATGGGAGGCAGAAGCGCTCTCACATCTCTCACAATATACAAGCATTAAGTGCTCTGTATAAAACGTTTTAGCTGTTTAACTTCAGTCATGGATGAGTCTTCCTCATCTGCCTCAATTGACAGGAATCACACGGGTCGGCTTTAACTACTTTCCTGCAACGACGTCATTCAAATCGACCACTCATTCATTCACTGTAATTAAAGTCAGTGAATAAAACAGTCTCTCAAAATGAGCTTTGCAAACATAAACACATATCGACAGAGACAAAGAGGGACAAAGACCCTGATAGCAGACGCAGAGGGGGGAGGAGAGGCGACATGCTTGGTGGCGACCTGACTGTAGCTGAAGGAACTGGTCCACCCTGCTGCCATTGAATGTTCTCTTCCTGTTTGTATTGACAGGACCCGCACTGCTCTGGTCCACTCACAATGGCGGCCGCAATGGAGGTCGACTAGCCGGCACGGAAACCAAGGAAGAGTAAAGGCTTCACACAAATACTTAATGAACGCGTAAGAACCCAGAAGATAAAGATTGGAGGCGACCAATATGATAGTTTCCAAAGTTCATTTTGACTTTAAATACATGCAGGCCTGTATAAAAGTAATGTATGATTTGAGCATGCTGACAGCTTGTTTCCTACTCGCATATTTAATAATAAGTTGTCGGCCAAAATATCGACGCAGCATCATCATGTATCATCGACCAGACTCATTGGATTCAGTTATTGAATCGCTGGTGGAAAATGTGGATTTTGAAAAAATGATACAGCGCTCTTCACAGATTTCCCTGCCAATTTTACTCACCGTATATCAACACTTCCTCGCCCCTAATGATGGCAATGATGTGCACACATGAATGAGGGTAGCATGACCGGAATGTAATTGGTCAAATATTAAAACAATCAAATATCATCATCCTGATACCAATGTACTACTTTCAAATGAGCGTCTTATACACCAAATATTATGAGGGTTAGGGTTACTGACCTAAAAAATATCCATTTAATGAGTTCAGAAAAGGTGTTTTCTTTCACCTGTCTTATTCCACCCCTTTCTTCTTAAACTATCAAATGTCAAAAAATACCTGCATATCATTATTTGCAACCAGTGTTGATAAATGTCAGACGTGCAATTAGGAAACCAACCAAGGAACTGGAAACGTGACTCAGGGCTAATATTTGCTTTTCTCTAATTGGCTACAGACTACTTTAAAGAGCAGTTTAATATAGTATGTTGAATGAAAATCAATCGATTCATCACTATTTATTTAATTATTTGTAAAGCAGCAATTCATAACAGGTGGCATCTCAAGACTATTTACAAAAACAGCAAATAACAGATACAAATAACAGCTGCCTGGTGAAACTGCTAAAGTCACAGGTGGAATATTGTGGCCGAGGTCGCAGTGCTCTCATTGCTTCACTTAACAGAGCGATGGCCCTGGTATAAAAGAAGCACCAACAAACTTCATATTATTGGTTGTCAGAACTTTGGCTCGGCAGCCTCATAACTCCGGTGTCTGTGGGAGGATTTCTTCAGAGATCTGTGCACGGGCTTGAGTTGAGCATTCTTCACATGCCGAGCTCCATCACAGGGCCCGTCCTCCAGACCTTTAACCACCGATTTACCAAATCTACACTGGAACAGCTGCATTTTGTGATGACATGCTGTGATTAAGTTATTTGCCTTGGTTGATTCTAAACACTACACTTTTATTCTATCTCTCTTTATCTATCCAAATTCATTTGTCAAATTATCTTAAAACGTGTCTCTATATAAAACCATATCTATACCTGTATAGCTCTATTTCTATATCGCTCTGTATCAATTCTAACAATTTATCCACAATATCCATCCTATTATCTATAGATCTCCATGCAGCTATGCAGTGTGAGGGTAGTAATCTATTAAATGTTCTAATAATTTTATGTTCACAATTTCAAAACAATGGAGAGAGTTGTCTCCCTCCACCCCGTCCTTCCTAGAGTTGATGCTCACGCAGGTTTCCAGGTCGCTTCAGTATTTAACCAGCTCTGAATCGGTCTTGAAACCTTTCTGCATTCTAGCCTTTCTCCAGTTTTAAAAGCATCTCCAATATTAATCCTATTTTTTACCACATTTCTGATCGTGGAGTTTACTAAAACGGGTAGAATCAGTTCACCTGTTGGTTTGCTGTTTGCCTGGCAAACCGAGGGGCGTTCAAAACGGCCGTGTGGGGGTGCCTTAAAACTGCCTACCTTCACCAGTCCAAACAAAAACAGACCATACAGGACCAGAATCTAATCTTAGAAGGAGGACATACTGGCTGCTGCATTGTTGTCAAAGCAGCCAGCTCGTCAACATAGCATGTTTCCTTAATGTCTGATCATATAGTAAGGTCACTTATCATTTTATTCAGTAGATATCTTACATATTGCTCCGTTAACTGTCCTCCAACTCAAAAATAAAAGTGAAGTGATCCCTGGTTAACAGCATCCATGTGACACTGTGAATCTGTGATTTCTGAGGCTGAAGGTTAACATGTGAAGGAGGCCCTCACTCTCCCAACTCTCTACAGAGACGTCTGATGACGCTCTCACATTCCTCAAGCTGGACGGAGGGAGTAAACTCCAAACGGTCCACTCTGGAAACCCACCTGATATTTCAACATGACCTAGGCTCAGGCCTGCGTTACATAACCACAGCCAAGTGCACTGTGCAGGGAAAGCTTGTATTGTTTTGCATCTAAGAGCCTGTGGCACTCCTGACTGCTTTCATTAAGAATTCCTGACTGAAGGAGGCAGAGCGACTTCAGACATCTCAGTGAAGTTTACAGAAACAGAGCAACACTTGCCAAGACAACCAACATGTCCATGCACTGTGTTAATACCAACTACAAAACATCTTCAGAGTCTCTTCAATGTGCGATAACATAGTTCAGAATTACAGGAACAATATGAAGTGCAATAGTCTCTGTAACACTTTGCTGCAGAGCTTCCGGCTGAGCTGTTGCTTGTGTTTGCGGCGCTTGTTCCTCTGACAACTTAAGGTCAAGACGTCCAATGTATAAAAATCTTTCATCCCGTCAAATGATATAGTGAAAAACAACACTGATGTGAAACCAGAAAAGATTCAGCGGGAAATGTTTAAATGTCTGGTGAACAGCTGGGGCGTACTGTTGAAGATTTCATAATGTGAATTTCAAATGAATTATTACATTTCTTGAAATACTATTGAGAAAGTGTTTATTTTGGATTTTGTAATTGTGGCTAATCTGGTTAAAAAAATCTTCTAATATTACACCACTCACTGATTTACAACACGTCCTGGAAGCCAAGAGCACAACCACCCAAATCAAAGGGATGAATAGCTATACAAAAGTGAACAATTCCAAGCACATAAACGCACACACACATGCATGCTCAAACACTCTGTGAGACTCACCTGGTCACAGCCGGCATTGACCAAATCCTGCAGCATCTGCCGGTTCACCTCCCCGGCTCCTGCAGGGTGTCCTGACCCTGAAGAGGGGCCTGACTCGTTGGCAAAGGGCATGAGGGACTTTCTGATTTCTCGAAGGGCATTCTGGTAGTTGTTAAACTTCTGTGGCGGTCGAAGCTGCTGCTGGCGGCTGGCCGTGTCTTTCCCGCTCTTGCAGTCGGCCCCTCTGCCGCCCTCGGTCCGGGAGCTGCCCCCGTGCAGGGCCTGGCTCACAAGCTTGGCCGGCTGCTTCAGACCCTCCTTGATCTCCTGAAGCCTCTGGCGCGTGTTCCCCACATAGGGGGCAGCTGGGAAAGTTTTTGGCCTCATGTCCTCAGTGCCCAGGGCAGGCACCTACTCTAAAAGAGAAACACACACACTGACGCTCACTCCCTCCAAATGATCTCTTTCTGGCTAGCTGACCTAAATAGATAAAAAAAAAGCGGGCAGGAGCAGAGAGTCCTCCTCCTCCGTGTCCCGTATTTGTTTGTGTCTCTCTTTGTGTCTGTGATTCCTGCTGATGCTGGTGGGCCAGATGAAGCTGAGGTGTGGTACTACACTCATTCCATGGTGTGGCTTTCAAGGCTCAGGTTCCAGCTTATTCCAGGAAATGCAACCGGTCACGAGGGCACCGCGGAGCCAAACCATGATGCTGCCAATCTCCGCCTGTGGAGGAAGGGATGGAGTTAGAGCGTGGAGACTGTGGTCATGCATAGTGCGCATGTTTTTCTTATTTTCTAAAATTAAAAGCAAGCACTGGGCGGCTTACATCCTGAGAGCAAGAAAGACCTGCCTTTAATGAAAAAATACCAAATATGCAGAAGTGACACAGCAATAAGCTGCAACACACACAAAGTCTACTAGTGCATCGCATCAGAGTATTTATAAACACGACCCATAAAACATGTCAAACAGGTTTTTAATTAGAGGACACTCTTATTTATGGAATTAATATGTTAGTTAATATAATGACTAAAATGGATATGACTTCATACAATCTGAGAACGCTGCCAGTATCATGATAATGAAGGATGCCTCCAGACATACAAAGACTCATTAAAAATAGATCGTTTTGAAATATACTTTCAAAACTTCTTTTGTAAAATTATTTTTTGGGGCTTTTTTGCCTTCACTAGACAGGACAGCTGAGGAGAGACAGGAAACACTGGAAGGAGAGAGCGGGGCATGAAGTGTCGATGCCAGACCCGAACCCACAGCCACCCCGAAGAGGGCCAGAGTCTTCGCACATGGAGCATGACAGCCCCCAGGCTATCCGGCATTTCAGTCAGGGGGTCTAGAAGATGAGTGCATTTCAGTCATTTTTCTGAATTATCTTAATTCACAAGGTGCACATAAAAAAAAAGATCTATCTTCTACCGCAAACAGCAAATATCAGCGGCTGCAAATCGAGCTGCAGCATTAGCTTGATTTTTTAAGTAAGGATTTCTTTCAGTTTTCTTTTCACCTGCTGAATTATCCAAAAAGGTCTCCTCCCACTCCTTGAAATAACCAAACCAGTAATCTAATCCAGTAAAATGGCTTCAAAGGCAGTTCAAAAATCAGTGTTTCTTGGATGCAATGTAGTAAACAAAGGAGATCAGGTAGGGACTGCCAGCTGAGCTACCACTGACAGCCACATACTGTATTTGAAGTGAACAGTTTTCTAATGTTTGAAAAATTAGGAGATTTTTTACTCATGTGCACCTACTGACAACCATTTTTCACTTAGTTTTTTTCCACACAGAAGACACCCACTTTATTCAATAGCGGCTCAAACAAGACTGGAGGAAAAACATCATAAATTCAAGCTTAACTTACAAAATGGATTTTAGAAATTGTAACTAAATAAGCCAGACTTCACATGGAACGAGAATGAGGCCGGTATGACCTGGAGGTCAGATTCCAGAGATTAGTAGAGCATTTGTAGCACTAATGCATACCTAATGCCTCATTCAAGAATGCTTAGGGTCACTACACACCAACTGCCCCCCCAATTCATAGCTGTGGTTGCAAAATCAGCCCCTGTCACTGCATACTTGAACTACGTGGTCATTGGTAAACACCCCTGTGAGAGCGCAGAGCTCAAACTTGGGGTCAAAACAGAGCAGCGGGCCTCCAACCATACCTCAGCCTCTCTGCCTATGATGCTCCCCTGGGATCAGACATTTAACACAGTTTAACCGCCTTATCTTGGAGTAACATACGCCACATTGGTGTTACTCCTGCAGGGCAGATGGGATGACGTGTGAAATCGATGCACATGTTTCTGTCAGGAGCCTCACGTGAGCGCTCACAGTCCAATGTCAAATACTAGCATCTTAAGGTGACACAATGAGATATGAGGCGCTTCGAGGGAGGACATGGAAAAAAAAAAGTATTTCATCACAACTGTGAATACAAAGCGTATGTGTTCACCAGTGTTCCAATGCAGGAGCTGCTGATCATCTATATTTAGCATCAAAAGTGTATTATCTTCACAATCTAAGAAACGCTTTGCTGTGTCCCCGAAGAATTCACTTCAGTCTAACTTGAAAAGTCTCTGACAGAGAATATCCGCTGGTCTGAGACTATAAAGCCCCAGATGACACACTTCAGTTGGGGGGTCTAGAAGATGAAAATAGGACTAGATATGAAGTTATGCCAGCAGCTCAGTGGAGCTAATTGATGGAATTAGCTGCTATTTTTGCATTTTCTAAAAGTCTTACATGTCATCATGATAGCCCATATAAGCTTCAAAGTTGTAAATAAAGCAGGAATCAGAAAGGTAGGATGATCCAGCAACGGTAAGCAAGATTTTAACAGGATCCAATTAAAAGCATGTGAACGCCACGTCCTTCAAATGAGTGTGCGTGCCGTGCACTACTTCTTGATGTATTGTTGTTGAAGCTAACCATATCCAAACTCAAACAGTTTAGTTCAGTCTGCCGCTCTTGTACAGGTTAGCCATCTAATGATTTGGACAGGCTCACACAGATCTAGGATAGTCACAGACAGTTTTATTTGAGCCAGAGCATTTTGTTTTTTTATATTGTTGTTGGGATGTAAAACGTTAAAACAAATAAACTAAATAATCTAAAAACTTGCCTACACCAGCTTTTATCATTGTGTTGGAATGAAGAGAAGGACATAACTCAAAGTGGGGAAACATCACACATAATAAAGAACCAGGAACATTTTCATTTTTCATAGATTGTGCAACATGTATCGTTTGGCTGTTGTTCAACCTACATTTTATACATGACATTTAGAGCCTATCTCTATTATCATGGCAAAGGCCTTGACAGAAGCCTGAGAATTGAAAAGCAGGTTGTTCTTCGGTCCAATTATCTTTCTCAGGCCGAGCGGATTCTGTTTGTCTGGCAGGTGATGTCTGAGCTCCACATACCTACCTGGTTTGTTTCCTACACTGACTAAATGCCAGACACACTCACATTCTGGCAGGTTCTGACATGGCTGGGGTTTTACAATCTTGTCTACTATTCCAACCATTTGTTAAGCAATCAACCTTTTATTGATTTGGTTTTATTTCATACAGTGAGATAGGCAGCTAGATTAAGTTAAAGAAACTCAGAACGTCCAATCATTTCAGCCACAAGAACCCTGACACACGTGGAAATAATTTATAAATTGAAGGAGTTTGCAAATCTGTTATTTTTATCTGTCAGGGCATATTTCCGCATGCCCACGAAGCTCTGGCATGAAGAAACGCAACATTATTTACACTTTTTATACACTGTGTTGAAGTGTTTTTAAACTTGCTTGAAGTCACTTAAATCTATGGCATTGTCTTCCCACTAAAAGTTAGCTTAAGCTGGCTACACTTTCAACGATTTTAGGCCCCTCCCCCCAAACAAGGCCCAATTTCAGGCTTGTAGTAACCGATTATTTGTCCAAATAGTACTAAAAGTTAGTGCTGTCAATACGATTATTTTGCGGCTCCCGATCGAGTCAGAAGCTTCCCGATTTAAAAATTTAAATATCAATCACGTTTAACATTTTTTTATTTGTTCGGGGGGCTTTTTATACACTTACACACTTTATTGGAGAGATAGGAATATGGAGTCAGAAATCGGGGAGAGGGAGAGTGGGGAATGACATGCAGGATGGGAGCAACAGGTCAGATTTGAACCCCGGCCATCTGCTTTCCAGGACTTTATCTTCTGTACAAGGGTACTCAAACTCACCACTAGGCCACAAGCGCACAGAGAAACACTGATTTAAACAACACTTTTAAATTGGAATTTAAAGTGGGGATAAATAACACAATGGATTGGGAAAAAAGAGTTAACTACATTGAAAATTATCATTATTGTTTTTCAATTTTAGATATATCATACAGGTTAAAAATGATGAATAAATATGTCCAATTAATGTGTCCTTTTATTAAGACGGTGGCAAAGACTTCAACCATTTGCCCAGGAGTGACTGTCCATTATAAATGCAGAGCAGCACTGGGATCGAGGCGGTCACACTGAAGTAGCCAAACACAAGAAGGCCTTGAACTACCTCCCCACCCGCCTCCTTCCTGGCAGATTTCATCCCTTTGGGCCATTTCTAAGAAGGACACAGCCCTCACTGTGTGTACACATGAAAGTTTGTATGCCTAAAATAATTTATTTTTTTACGTTTGAGGTCGGTCCGGTGGGTGGGCGGGGCGATGGTTGCCAAGCTTCATAAATGTTGCCACATCTCTGGGATCTCTAGCCTCCATTCCTGCGATGCTTTAGGCGCCGCGTCCGACCGATGAGCATTCCATTCCACAAGTAACTACAAGTAAGCTCATACCACCGTTGAATCATGGGACAGTCTATGCTGACCAAAATAAACCAAAAAACAAGAATTATTGAAGATGGCTGTCTGGAAACTGGCTTGGGACAGGGTGTTGGAGCAGGTCAAACCTAAAAATAATAATTACCAGAAGAAAAAAAATGTGAGGAGACGCTGCTCTGTTCAAATTTTAAACTGTGAAACAAGGAGCTACAAACACCCGGCGGCGCACTTCCATACTTAACCCTAACCTTCATCAATACATACCTCAGATTATCTCTTGTTTTATCTGGCTCTAAACCTGACCTCTGACTTATAATCAGACCACACACACGGTGAAAATGGGTTGAGGTGGGAAGTGAAAAAAAAAAACATTTTGAAAATGTGCACTTTAGGACAATAATCTCATCTGAAAGCGTTCTCACCCACAGTCTTCAAATCTTGTTTGATGTTGGATCAGTTCATTTAAAAAAAAAAATCTACAACATATGGCCACCTTTCTTGATATTTTCCTGAAAAGGTGGTTTTAACAAATAACATATATCCCAAAGGAGTTTCTTCCAAAACTCAATTCAAAAATGAAGTGGTCTTGCAAAATAAAATCATCATTAACAGATTTTTGATAGATTTTCAGTAAAAAAAAAACATTCAACAGACTGTCCAACAAAAGCCCTTCTTCATAAAAAAACTGCACTAAGTGGAAAGAATTAAACCCCCTCCCCCCCAGATATATCTTTCAAAGAAACAAAAATCCAGTTCCCTTGTGTTTTTGCTTTTGAAATCTTATTAAGAGTTGTTTGGGATGCAGTTTTTGGTCTCTTGTTGCCTCAGTTCCATTCAGGCTTCCTCACATTTTCCAAAATACTCTGAAGTTTGCTTTTCCCCCAAAATGACCAAATTTTTCCATGTCTTGCAATAAGTTTCAAAGAGATGAAATATGCCCAGAGATCTTCATCTGAACCTAACGTCAGCAGAGGATTTAGTTCATGAGAACCTCAAAGTTATGTTCAAGTCTTCTAGGTTACGGCCCTGATAATATCTAGCTTGTTTGATCTTTTTTAGAGAATCTGGATGGTAATGTTTTTGCTCTTTGCAGATATTATGGAAACTAAAACTTCCTCAATAGCAACTCTGAAGCTTGTGTAGCCCTCGGTAGGTTTGTTGGATGATCGACTCGCTCGGCTTACATATCTTCCAATCCATATCTTATGTTTACAAACCAAGTTGAGAGAGTTTGCATGTTTTTGTGTTTGATAAAGACAGAAAAAGATTAGCACGTGGGGGAAAAGGGAATGCTTTGATTGTGTTATCATATAATAGAAAGAGCCCGACCGATTATTCAGCCAGCAGATAATATCGGCCGATATTAGCATATCCAGTGACTATCAGTATCGGCTAATTTTATCTCAGATATGCACCAATATGACTAGATTTATTCACCAGTCAAATAGCATTTCATTTGAGTTTCACTGTATTACACCAGTGGTTATCTTTCACCAGCAGAGGGCGCTAACTGGATAATAACTAGCATCATAACTCTTCAGAGTCAGTGTCAAGCAGTGATGCACGTACGCGCATTTACTTTCCATCATTAAATGTTTTCCAGAAGTGTTTGGTAAGTGTATCTGAGGCATCAAAATGAATGTGTTTATCTGTATCCATCTATCTCTAAAGATTTCATAGATCAAATTCAGATATCGACTGATATATCGGAATCTGATTTTCTGATATCAGTATCGGCCCAAAAAAAATCCCATATGGGTCGGCCCTAATAATAGTTACACATTATGTTTTAATTTCCTAAATGTATTAAGTGACATTTTTCCTCATCCTGACTCATCACATTTTGAAAGAGGAATTGAGAATCTCTGCAATATGAGCTGAGAAATCCGCAAAGACAGTCCATTAGGCATTCAAAACATCTCTTGTGAAATCTTCAGGTGACGTCACAGACACTATACCAGCATTGTTCTACAGTTTGTGGAGCTCAATAATCTCCAGAAACAGACACACATGCACATGGAATTAAACCCAGGCCTTCCCCTGGCACAGCAGCAGCACAGACACCAGAGCCAGAGTTTACATGTAGCAGCCAAAATAGCTGCCTCATCCCAAATATCTTTGCTAGTTTGTCACCTGATTTGTTTCTCTCTAACCTGCTGGTTGACAATAGAACAAACAACAACGCTTAAATAGCCACAGCCAACATCTGCCTGCATCTGTCCAATAGGCTTGCAGTCATCCCTGTGGTTCTTCCCTGACAGATTTCTCTGCACGGCCAGGCAGGATTAAATCCAGCTGTGCAGTCTAGATACTTGACCACACTGTTGCACGATCACTGCATGTTTACAAAAGGCCCGATTGTTTCTAAAATGTGACCTCTCGCCTCAGGAAACACTATCAGGAGCGTGACATTTCTAAATTAATCCTTGGTTTGCATAACTCAGCATGCGGAGGACTCGACTTGGAATTGGAGGCACCTTCCTTCAGGTGAATTGACAACAAATCAAACACCTGAATTGACAGGCAGCAAAAACAACTGGTGATCAAAGTTTGTCAAACAGACAGGGAGAAAGGTGTGTGAGGTGAGTGCATAGTAGTAGTAGTAGTAGTAGTAGCACACCTGAATGAAACACATGGCTGCATCAGTGCCAAACTATGCAGGCCTTCAGGCTTGGGAGTGTAAAATAGGAAATTCAAAACAAATTGTCTGGACTTTTTTCACCCTATTACATTATCCAAACAGGTTATGGTAATTTCTCATCACTGTGTCATAACTGACAAATAAAAGAAACTCAATCTTCTTGATGTTAATTTGGACACACTTTGCCTTTAAATTGTTTTGCCCACATGGGGAAGCATATTACAGGAGGTTTGCATGAACTAAATCACTTACATGATGACAACAACAACAGGGTATTTAAAATAGAAAATCTTAAGGAGCAAATCTACCTCAGTCACTCTTGGGCCCTTTTCTTATATATATACACACTAGGGCCCCCAACATGAAGTTCTGGGCCCCTTAGAGGTTAAACAAAACAAGATTTGCTTATTTTTTTTAAATAGCCCGAGAGGATCCAGCACAAACCATACCCTCCTGTTTCGGGTTTTCAATCTGCATATTTGTGCCAAAGCTTTAAATACCGTTACAAAATGGTGTCTTTGAGTAGTTTACAGTCTTTGCCTGGGGGGCCCCTGGACATTAAACGCAACGGAAACCCCAGTTTTACCGTCCCGTGGCCTTCCCCACTGTATCCCCGGCTGGAGAGAGAGAGAGAGGGGGGAGGCTGAGAGAGGCGCAACACCAGATCAGTCCTCTGCAGAAGCAACCCTGGGGGAGTCCCGTTAACCCTAACTAGTCTTCAAGTTAAAGGGGAAGAATACAAAAAAAAAAAAAGCATGTACTTCTGTATCCATAACTTCAGCATACCCGTGACGGAACTTTTCCCCCTCAAAAAACAAAGTCGTGGAAATAAGTTTTATACCACCACTCCCCTCCCCAAAAAAAAAAAGTAACTCTCAACTTACCATGTGATAGAAGACCTAGCGAGAATATAACTTCAGATTGGAGAGTAAAATCCCGTCAAATAGCAACGTTTAAAGTCCGTTCGTCGGTCGAAAGGCTCGTTGTAGACGGAGGAGCGAGGTAAATATGATGAAATGAGCCTCCATTTTCTCCCCAAACTGCAGCCTGGATCAGAAATGCAGCACAAAGTTGGACACTCGCTGCATTGTTAACATTCCACAGGTCACGTGACGGACCGACGCACGTCAGCACCGTTACAAAGATCGTCTACTGAGGGCGAGACTCGCTCAGTGGTTTTCTGTCCTGTTTCGGCGAGGAGTAGCTGGTTGTTTTTGTTGTTGTTGTTGTTGTTGTTGTTGCAGCGGCCAGTGGTGTAGTTGTGCTTCACGAAGATGGTCCTACTGCACTATAAATGTTACCCCAAAAGTGGCCGGTCCAGCAGAGGTTAAACGGCCTCTATTACTATTACTCTCTGATGTAAGCGTGATCTCTCTGGATGAAGTGAATTGTATTAGAAACAGTGACATGTGCATATTTAGTTCATTATCTTCTATATTTGTACATGGACACTCAATTTCCGCAGCTTGTCTTAAGGGAGTAGTGATTGTTGTGAAATTAACTTTTTTTTTGTAAGTGGCCACTACACTAAAGGCTGAGAAACAACTACATAGTTATGCTTTTTGAGTGAACCATTCCTTATTGTGTGTTTTGGGGTTACAAAGCATTGCAGTAATCTGTTATTTTTTTTAGAAGTGGGTATACTCCCATATACCTGTTAATACCCTGGACTACACCACTGACAGCAACTTCTTAAACTGCAGTTAATAAGGTCTCAGTGGGCCTACTAGAGATCAGCAACAAGTGTCCCATGTAATTATATCATGTGGATAAAGAAAATAATAACATAATCCGAAGTGCAAATTGTGAAGAGAAATTTATAGTTTTTCTGTGATCGTGTAGAATTTGAAATAACTCGTATGGCATAAGTCTCTATCTGGAGAGAACATTTTTTATGTCGCTTCTTGCTTTGCTGTCTGCTGACCATCGGGTGTCGAAAATCTTAAGTCTTACCCGTAGTGACTGTAAAAAGTAACAGTGTGAGACGTCTTTCTTTTTCGCTCGTCTCTGACCGCACATATTCTAGGCGGGGCTTCCTCCAATACATTTCTCCCTTTGATACATCAAAAAAAAAAAAAAAAAATATCAGGACATTACTCAGTCACTCCCCTCTGGCCTTGGAATGAGTCTTTACCGATGAGTAAAGCTGTATGAACGCAAATACAAGACTAAAACAAACCAACGAACGAGCAGACAGCCCATTCAATATGAAACTTATTCATCATTGAGGAGGATTTTTTTTTTAAAAAGGAAAGAAAAACACGCAATCCCGAGTTAAGCAAGATTCAAAAGGCTGCTGCATTTCCCCAAACTTTAATTTTCTGATCACAGGAGTAGAAAATAAATATTAATGAACAATAAAGATTGTTAAACGTGATTATTTTAAAGGAGTAATCGGCAGTAGCTCTGGGACTTAGGAACCAGAGGGTTGTTGGTTCAAATCCCAGTGTGGATCAAAAATAGAAGTTGGTCAGGTAGGCTATATGGAGAGGTGGCAGGTCACATCCCGAGAACTGCCGATGTGCCCTTGAGCAAGGCACTGAACCGCCAACAGCTCTGGTTCGTTCCCTGCATACAGCAGTGTGTAGCAGCCCTAATCTGACATCTCTCCTTTAATGCATGTCCACAGGTCATGTTTGTGAATGTGTATTCGGGCCTGTGTGTGTGAGAAGCATGTCTCTCAGTAACAGAGTGTAAAATCAGAATTTCCCCTTGGAGATTAATAAAGTATGTAAAAGTAAAAAAAATAAATAGTAAACCATCAACCAAATTAATGGAAACCCTACAATCATTCCTTTCACAAGAATGTACATTTCTAAAAACTTGTATTTCCAAATTCTCAACTCATAAGACAACGCCCTGTATGCCTTCAGCGGTGTATTTTATTCTTTGAAAAGCAGGCACAGAAGTAAATAAATTAAGTAAGAATCTAGCTGCTCCAAACAACAAGCACTTCAGTTCACCAGATTACAGACAACCATGTGCTGAGTAAATTCAATATCTTTAGAAAGGAAGCATGTCTGAAGGTACAAATGTGTTAAGGATATTATATTTCTAAATTCTCAAACATTTCACAACATTTTTACAGAGTAAGTGCTGAATTATTTCTGCTTTGTTTGGAGGAAACGGGAGGATCAGCAGATGTAGGTATCTGCAAAAGTTTAATTCTGATTTATAATAAGTTCTGACGGTGAATTAAGGAAAATGTTTTATTACAGTTCTATAGCTACTTTGTATGGAAGCCTGGAGCGGACAAACATCCATACACTGTAATTTACACAGTTTTCCCGTGCTACAAGGTGCATTTTGGTTGTTTTCTTGAGATCTCAATTTATTTATCTCATTATCTCTGGATAACAACGCTGATTTTCCCGAGAAAATGAGTTAAACACAGTACCTTTGCTCCGCCGCCAGTGGAGTTCTCAATCAAAACAATACAAAAGATGAAATAGAGGCTGGCAAGGAATCATGCTGATTCTCTCTCCCCTCCCCATCCCCAATGAAAACAAACTGAGTCGATCGTAGTCAAGAAAAACGGGCAAAACCGACCTGAGGAAGAGAATATGTTTACAGAAGAGCTAATGTATCCGAGTATAATTTACATCACGCTTTTATCACAGCAGCACACACAGCAACAGCAGCTTTCAGTAGCAGCTCACGCTTCCTTATGCAGCGGTCTGGGATGTAGCATTTCCATGGCAACGATAAACATGTCGTGTCTGTCATAATAACTGTTGGAAATATTTGAGGTAATGGAAGTATTAAAAAAAATAATAACAGGTTTAGTCCATTTTATTTAAGATATTTTACTGTGAAAATTTCACGTACTGTACCTTTAATTTCCAGAGATGTCCCTTGAACTGTGAATCTTTTTTTGCTGTGATGTGTTGTTTCACCTTTGGCATGCTGAATGTCCGGTCTGCACAGCAAATTGACCTTTTTATGAACTAATAAAGAAACCTAGATCTTGAGATTCTTGAGAAAGCGAAGCCATTACAAGGGAGACAGAGTTGAATAAAATGTATGTATGCACGTCCGGCTTTGTACAAACTACCTACAAAACATTCTCTTCCAACTGAAAACCATCAACTCTGATTAGGGCTTCTGGAAGGTTGCAATAAAAGTAAAGGTGGAAATTAAAACGTAGGCCGAATAAACAATGGCTTTCCAGGCCTCCAACTATGTCAAAGGATGAAACCAGTGTCCAGTGAACTCATTTTTCAGAAGGGCTCCAACACTGGCAACATGTAAAGGCATTTTCCAACTATAAACCTTTTTTAGACAGACAGGTGGACAAGGTGTCACACAATCCATAACCATCATGGAGTTAAAAAAAACAACAACAGTACCAGCTAAACAACAACAAAAAGAGGACATCACATAGGATTGGTTTGGTAAAAGGAGCCTTGAAGATTTAAGTTATGAGCACATGAAACATATAACAGAACAGGAAAGATACACAGCCACCCATGGAAAGGAACATCGAGTGGAAAACAGAAGGCACATTCCACTTTGAGCTACCATAGCATGCTTACGCTAACCGCACACCAACTGCTTATTAAGCAACACCTTTTAAAGCCCTTAACTGCACTGAGCTACTTCAGCCTCTAGTCTAGACCCTAACCCTTCCCATCATGTATTGATCAAATATTCAAATATTCTCCTCAGTTGACTCCCGTCCCTTAACTGAACCACTTTTGTAACACTTGAACCCCTGAAGGTTATTTTCCATAACTACTTGACATCATTTGGAGTTTATACGCATTAAATGGTAAAAGGATGGATATTAGGAAAGATGACGAAAGATGGGAACTTTTCTCGCCGTACACACGCGCTAAGTGAATAATCATAAGAGATGCTTTGTTAACATTTGAGCGCAGACTGTTTATGCATGTTTAGCTTAGACACCAAGCCAGAAGTAGTTTAAAACACAGGCGGATTTGTAAAAGCAGAACAAGCTTTACAAACTAAGGCACCAGCCGGACAACTAAAGACTCATTTCAATGAGATGATTTCTTAAAGATGTAGCCGATTTTCCAGTTAATGTCGATAAATCCACAAACAGAATCGGAGACGAGAGGACAGCCCTGGTGGAGGTCGACACGCTCAGGGAAGCTTACTGGTTTTGTGCTGAGAATGCAGACACAACTATCACTTTGGTCATACAGGGACATGATGGCTAGAAGCCACGCCCCCAGGACCCCATACTCCTGCAGGACACCCCACATGACCCACCCGAGGGACACAATCATAAGCCTTCTCCAGGGCTACAAACTACAAGTAGACCGGATGAGTCTAATCCCATTGCCCCAGAGAAGCCCTGCAAGGGTAAAGAGCTGGTCCACTGTCCAATGGTCCAGGGCCGAATAGCCCAGATAGTTAGAGCACACCCTCCGGTCCCCCTTTTAAAAATGGGAACCCCAACCTCAGCCAATTCTTTAGCTTACATTTGACAAATTATCAAAAACATACAAAAATGTATTTAAAGGCCACATATTGTCTTGTTCTAAATCCACTCTGATCCTGTACTTGATCATGCCTATAAACCCCTCTATTTCAGCCCTGCTCAGAACAGGCTGTTTCTGTGTCTGTAGCTTTAAATGTAAATGAGCTGTGACTGACCACGCCCCCTCTTTGGAAGGGCTTGGGTGTACTCTGGCTTTCTCGCACCATGTCCTATTGTTTACAGTGAGAAAGCAGACTAAGAGGGCAGAACAAACACCTAGCTGTGGGAGTGTCACCCACCTGGGGGAGGGGTTACTGCCCTTTGTGATGTCAGGAAGAGAAAATCTCCAAACGGCCTGTTTGAGCACACATTTTCTGAAAAGTGGAGCAGGAAAAAGATGGAGAGGATGGACTTTTCTCATCATTGGGGGTTTTGTAGACAGACTAGGGACACAAATTAGTGGAAGTAAAACAGGAAATGTATTTTGCAATATATGTGACCTTTAAATGGTTGCGTATATTTTTTTGAAAACAGCCTTTAGGTTTGTTCTTGAACCAACAGAAACATCTCTGTGATGCCTAATCGTGCTCCAAAACAGTTACAATCAATTAGAACAGAAAACAGTGAACAAAGCCGATGAGAGTTTAAACTATGACTGATGAGATGTTCATTTTTCAAGTGCCAAAGCACACGTGCTAAACTACACAAAGCTTTAATTAAACAGTCGCCAACATGCTGGTTGCCTTTGGGGATTCGTTCCTGTTTATGAACAGCATGTGTTTCACTCATTTGTAATGACACTTTGATTTGGTGTGACTACAGAGAATCGCAGAAGCATGTTGCGGAGAAAGGCGCTTAATTTAGTACACAAACGCCTACTTATGAGGAGTTGTACTTTGGGAACTGCCAGCAGCAAAATGTTATGAGTTTGTCCTCTTCCCTGCAGTGGGATTTCAAGCTACGCTATGGAAAGCGAACACGTAAACATGGGAATTAACCCAAATATTTCCTTCCCAACATGCTTCATATACATTTCAATTTAAATGGGAAACACTGAGTAGGAATACTTAAAAAATCCAACCAACACGTGATTATTAACACTTGTTGTGTTGTAAATATTGACATCCTTTAAACCTCTGAGTGGACCCCAGTTCTGACTCTCCAACAGTGCTGTATTGTAGTTAATCCTAACAGCTGTCACCTGGGAGTTTAAGAATTGTACAAATTCATCAATACCAGGAAAGACGTGATAAAGTAAAATATCTGCCATTCCAAGATTTTTGTTCTTCAGGAAGCTATGACTAAAAATTCCTGGAAATGAGCTGCGTTTCTACTAAGCCAGGAAGTACAGAAGTTAAGTCACACAAGCCTCTGACAATCAAGTAGTAAAAGTGGTACATTTGTTTGTGCTATCAGGTAGCCAGTCTTCCTGCAGTGTTTGTATTCTGTTCTTCTGAAGTCTGTATGACCGGTATGAATGTGAGAAAATGTCAGAAGAGGTTAGTGTACGCTTTTAGAACCTTTGAGAAGTTAAAGGAGCCGCTTTGTTTTAAACATGAGGCCAGTAAGAAAACACCTTAACTAACAGTACATTATTCCTTTTGGCCACCAGGGGGGCGACTCTGCTGGATGCAAAAAGAAGTGTGAAGGAAGTTATTCTACTTCTTGCAGGAAAACAGTCTGTGTGAAGAACAAAAGAGGCAGAAGCCAATCCAATCTGCTGTAATGCAATCCTAAAACCCATCTGAAGACAATTTAGCTTTCATTAAGTTATTTTTTTTTAAGATATCTTCATGCAAGTGCAGCTAGCAACTCTCTCTTAAATGCTGTTTCCTAAATCCTCAAGTGGCTAGTTTGACTTGCAATGCTTGCAAAAGGTTTTGACGGAAATCCTTTGTAGCTAACTGAAAACCCCATTAAGTTGGTCATGGTTATATTATCTTCAGACGACAGCTGATAGTAGTGTTGTAGTCAAGGCCACACTAACCGAGACCAAGACATACCAGAGACCAGAGTGCTCCGAGACCGAGACATTTAGGGACTCAGACTAAGTCAAGACCGAGACCGAGACCAAGGCAGGGCGAGACCGAGGCAAGACCAAGACAATAAATATCAATGAAAAATCATCCACTTAGTTTGGGGTGTTTTCCTTCCAATCACAGTAATGGCGTTGAAGAATAGCCAATCAGTGGTGGTCTTGATTTAAAATCTGGAGTCCACCCAGTCCGAGACCGAGATAAGACAGTGTAAAAATGCTTTTGATTCCGAAACGAGACCTTCAAAAAGTGGCCTCAAGATACTACCACACTAGCTGATGGGTTCTGAGATTGGAGATGTGGCAATGTGTATCCCACTCTTTTTAAAAGTGTTGTCCCTTCTGACCTTCATGATACAAACGGCACTTTATATACCTCTGTCAAGGGGAATCAAAAATGCATTTAAAGGGCACATTTTCCACACTGTTGTTGTTCCACACTTCAATAAAAATAACACCTTCTGCAAGCCTGTCATTCTCTCTCAGTTGCGTTGCATAATGTAAGGACATCATATCTCATATCAGACCAGCCAACATAACAGGAAGTCACATACACTGAGAGTGAAAATAAGAGCAGATAAGTATGTCGTTCATTTCTGTAGTAAGGAAGATGAAGTGTGAGAACATGAGTTAAGGTCCAAAGCAGTATAGGGAACTCAGTGCCCGGACAGCACTAAGATTTTTTAAATAAGTCACTCTAGCGGAGCAGCAGAGATGCACAGGTTGTTTAAGGCACAGGCAACTTGCACAATCTTATCAAAGGTTGAGAGGTTTGACGTGCGCTCAGAGGTCGTGGTGAAGGGGCTCTCGACGGGGCCTGTGAGCATGGCGTACCTCTGCTTCACAATGGAGATCACCCTCTCCACGTGCCTCTGCACACTCAGCGTCCCAGAGGAAGAATCAGTGAGGGTTGAGCCCTCTGAGCTCCCGTAGCTCCTGGCAATTTTAAATATTGCTCCCCTGGCGGCAACAGAATCTGCAATGTCAAGATCACGGTTTGCCAGCACAACATCTCCTGGAAGAAGCTTGCACAAGAAGCCACAGCCTTCAGCCAGGCCTTTATCACTGACGTTTCCCAGAACGCCCCTGGAGACGAAGGTGACAACGCCTTGAGGAGCCACACCAATTAGATACTTTAACACATTATAGCTCATCCCCATCCCATGCTGTAGTTGCTGCTGGTTTCCCCGGGAAACTGGCTCCTCAAAGGGTACCGTGAAACAGTCTATGATGACAGCGCAGTCGGGGTGAGAGGCACAGAGAGCCGCAGGGAGGTTCTTCCTGAGCTCAGCTCTGGAGGGCCAAAAGACGGCCGTCGGCACCAAAGTGGAGGACATGATGTTCACCATCTGGTGAACAGTTCTGGTTACCATGCTGACTTTAATACCGAAGCGATAGGCCAGGTCTTGGTTGCGAAGGTCCAGGCGGAGTCGCATCAGGGTAAGCAGCAGCTGCTGGAACTTGGAGAGCTTCATGTTCTTCATCCCATCCATATGAGGAGCCAGCAGCCACATGACTGTCTCTAGGACAAAGAAGTTTGGTAGACCGGTGTAAAACTTCACTTTCTCTGCATCGTTCCTTAAAGAGCTCTCAGAGAGCGACATTCTCTCCACAGACTCCCTGAGGGCCTGGTTCTCCTTCTTCAGGGCTTTCAGGAGGTCGTCAAAGTTCCCTTGTGCATCAGACGTCTGAGCAAACTTTCCTTTCTTGCTGTCACTCATAGACTCATCATAATCCTCATCGTCTTCATCTGTGCTGATAGAAGAGGAAGCACTCTCCTCCACATGGCTCTGTTGCTCCCTCTCTTCAGGATGCTTGTCCTGGCCCTGCTCTCCTGACACAGAGCTGCCCTGACCCTGCAGGAACAACAAAGCGTTTGCCGCCTCTACACGAGCTTCCTGCTTGTCCAGCACCTCCAAGGCACCCGGCTCCTTCATCTCTGGGGATAAGGGAACTGATGTGAACACAGAAGGAACATAATCTGGTGAACGGGGATTCTTCACCTGTTTACCTGCATGTGGGGAAAGAAGATGTGGTTGGCGGGGAGGTGGTGAACATTTTAAGAATTTGAATTGCTTATTACTGTATATCCCCAGATAACTGAGGGAACCTTCCCAAGTGATTAATAAAGGTTATATTTATCTCTTTTTGTGTCAATGAAGGCTGCCTTGTTTTTCTCTGTAGGCTATGTCTCATTTTTTCATTGTTCTACCATTATGATTGCATCTTTGTGTGGCACTTGTGTTTGAGACAAAAAGTTGTATCCTTCTCCTCAAATGAGTTAATGCATCCATTAAAAACCACCATGGAAAATTACGACATGAAAAACACAAGAACCAGTAAGCTAAATAATAAAACAAAGACATGAACTGCTGTCCAACAATATGTTTACATTAAAATGTGTATCTATTTTTAAAATGTATTAAAAACTAAACTGTCACTGGGATGCAAGTTTGTGCATCTTAATGAATAGCAGGCTTCAGTGCTGCACAATTAATCGCAAATTCATCATTATCGCAGTATGACAATTTGCAAAAAACACATCGCAAAAATCTGAATTTAGTGTGATAATTAAAATAATTTATTTTACAGAAACAAGTGAAACATTCTACCACAGTTTGGTTCTACCCACCAGGTGGGAGCCAGGGTTTACTAACCATTCTTTAATGCTATTTTTATAGTCAGCTAGCAGCTAGCTAGCAGCTACACGCAGATTTATTGGTACCAGGTTTCGATGTCTTGATTTGAATTAATCTGCTGTAATTTCAGGTTTTTAGCTTTTGGCATATAAAAAAGTGACTTCTAATAACTTCACGTACACTGTGACTTTGATAACTACAAGTTAAATATATTGAATTAATGTCGATTATGACTATAACTTGATGATTTAGATTATCATTGTGTGCAGGCAATTTTATTAAACTGTTGTAACATTACATACGTTACCCTGGTTAATTACGACACTTGCTCATACATTTAATCAAACCGTATTTAGAGAGAGCAATAATCGAAAATACCTACTCTTAAAATATCCACTGGTCTGTAAATCAAACAAAACAATACGATATAAAACAGAAAGTACAGTCCGTGTCCTGCAGTCATACCTGAGATGAAGTGATAACAGTCGTACCTGAGATGAAGTGAGAACAGTCGTACCTGAGATGAAGTGAGAACAGTCGTACCTGAGATGAAGTGAGTACAGTCGTACCTGAGATGGAGTGAGAACAGTCGTACCTGAGATGAAGTGAGAACAGTCGTACCTGAGATGAAGTGAGAACAGTCGTACCTGAGATGAAGTTAGAACAGTCGTACCTGAGATGAAGTTAGAACAGTCGTACCTGAGATGAAGTGAGTACAGTCGTACCTGAGATGAAGTGAGAACAGTCGTACCTGAGATGAAGTAAATACAGTCGTACCTGAGATGAAGTGAGAACAGTCATGAAGTGAGTACAGTCGTACCTGAGATGAAGTGAGTACAGTCGTACCTGAGATGAAGTGAGAACAGTCGTACCTGAGATGAAGTGAGAACAGTCGTACCTGAGAACAGTCGTACCTGAGATGAAGTGAGAACAGTCGTACCTGAGATGAAGGGAGAACAGTCGTACCTGAGATGAAGTGAGAACAGTCATGAAGTGAGTACAGTCGTACCTGAGATGAAGTGAATACAGTCGTACCTGAGATGAAGTGAGAACAGTCATGAAGTGAGAACAGTCATACCTGAGATGAAGTGAGTACAGTCGTACCTGAGATGAAGTGAGAACAGTCGTACATGAGATGAAGTGAGTACAGTCGTACCTGAGATGAAGTGAGAACAGTCGTACCTGAGATGAAGTGAGTACAGTCTTACCTGAGATGAAGTGAGTACAGTCATACCTGAGATGAAGTGAGTACAGTCGTACCTGAGATGAGATGAAGTGAGAACAGTCATACCTGAGATGAAGTGAGTACAGTCGTACCTGAGATTAAGTGAAAACAGTCGTACCTGAGATGAAGTGAGTACAGTCTGAGATAAAGTGAGAACAGTCATACCTGAGATGAGATGAAGTGAGAACAGTCATACCTGAGATGAAGTGAGTACAGTCATACCTGAGATGAAGTGAGTACAGTCATACCTGAGATGAAGTGAAAACAGTCGTACCTGAGATGAAGTGAGTATAGTCTGAGATGAAGTGAGAACAGTCATACCTGAGATGAGATGAAGTGAGAACAGTCATACCTGAGATGAAGTGAGTACAGTCATACCTGAGATGAAGTGAGTACAGTCGTACCTGAGATGAAGTGAGTACAGTCGTACCTGAGATGAGATGAGATGAAGTGAGAACAGTCATACCTGAGATGAAGTGAGTACAGTCGTACCTGAGATGAAGTGAGTACCGTCGTACCTGAGATGAAGTGAGTACAGTCGTACCTGAGATGAAGTGAGTACAGTCGTACCTGAGATGAAGTGAGTACCGTCGTACCTGAGATGAAGTGAGTACAGTCATACCTGAGATGAAGTGAGTACAGTCGTACCTGAGATGAGATGAAGTGAGAACAGTCATACCTGAGATGAAGTGAGTACAGTCGTACCTGAGATGAAGTGAGTACCGTCGTACCTGAGATGAAGTGAGTACAGTCATACCTGAGATGAAGTGAGTACCGTCGTACCTGAGATGAAGTGAGTACAGTCATACCTGAGATGAAGTGAGTACAGTCGTACCTGAGATGAAGTGAGTACAGTCGTACCTGAGATGAAGTGAGAACAGTCGTACCTCAGATGAGATGAAGTGAGAACAGTCATACCTGAGATGAGATGAAGTGAGAACAGTCATACCTGAGATGAAGTGAGTACAGTCGTACCTGAGATGAAGTGAGAACAGTCATACCTGAGATGAGATGAAGTGAGAACAGTCATACCTGAGATGAAGTGAGTACAGTCGTACCTGAGATGAAGTGAGTACCGTCGTACCTGAGATGAAGTTAGAACAGTCATACCTGAGATGAAGTGAGTACAGTGGTACCTGAGATGAAGTGAGTACAGTCTGAGATGAAGTGAGAACAGTCTGAGATGAAGTGAGTACAGTGGTACCTGAGATGAAGTGAGTACAGTCGTACCTGAGATGAAGTGAGTACAGTCTGAGATGAAGTGAGAACAGTCGTACCTGAGATGAAGTGAGTACAGTCTGAGATGAAGTGAGTACAGTCGTACCTGAGATGAAGTGAGTACAGTCGTACCTGAGATGAAGTGAGTACAGTCTGAGATGAAGTGAGTACAGTCGTACCTGAGATGAAGTGAGTACAGTCTGAGATGAAGTGAGTACAGTCGTACCTGAGATGAAGTGAGTACAGTCTGAGATGAAGGGAGAACAGTCATACCTGAGATGAAGTGAGTACAGTCTGAGATGAAGTGAGTACAGTCTGAGATGAAGTGAGAACAGTCTGAGATGAAGTGAGAACAGTCTGAGATGAAGTGAGAACAGTCATACCTGAGATGAAGTGAGTACAGTCTGAGATGAAGTGAGAACAGTCATACCTGAGATGAAGTGATAACAGTCGTACCTAAGATGAAGTGAGTACAGTCTGAGATGAAGTGAGAACAGTCTGAGATGAAGTGAGTACAGTCTGAGATGAAGTGAGAACAGTCATACCTGAGATGAAGTGAGTACAGTCTGAGATGAAGTGAGAACAGTCATACTTGAGATGAAGTGAGTACAGTCTGAGATGAAGTGAGAACAGTCGTACCTGAGATGAAGTGAGTACAGTCGTACCTGAGATGAAGTGAGAACAGTTATACCTGAGATGAAGTGAGTACAGTCTGAGACGAAGTGAGAACAGTCATACCTGAGATGAAGTGAGTACAGTCTGAGATGAAGTGAGAACAGTCATACCTGAGATGAAGTGAGTACAGTCTGAGATGAAGTGAGTACAGTCTGAGATGAAGTGAGAACAGTCTGAGATGAAGTGAGAACAGTCATACCTGAGATGAAGTGAGTACAGTCTGAGATGAAGTGAGTACAGTCTGAGATGAAGTGAGAACAGTCGTACCTGAGATGAAGTGAGTACAGTCTGAGACGAAGTGAGAACAGTCATACCTGAGATGAAGTGAGTACAGTCTGAGATGAAGGGAGAACAGTCATACCTGAGATGAAGTGAGTACAGTCTGAGATGAAGTGAGAACAGTCATACCTGAGATGAAGTGAGTACAGTCGTACCTGAGATGAAGTGAGTACAGTCTGAGATGAAGTGAGTACAGTCGTACCTGAGATGAAGTGAGTACAGTCTGAGATTAAGTGAGAACAGTCGTACCTGAGATGAAGTGAGTACAGTCGTACCTGAGATGAAGTGAGAACAGTCGTACCTGAGATGAAGTGAGAACAGTCGTACCTGAGATGAAGTGAGAACAGTCGTACCTGAGATGAAGTGAGTACAGTCTGAGATTAAGTGAGAACAGTCGTACCTGAGATGAAGTGAGTACAGTCGTACCTGAGATGAAGTGAGAACAGTCGTACCTGAGATGAAGTGAGAACAGTCGTACCTGAGATGAAGTGAGAACAGTCGTACCTGAGATGAAGTGAGTACAGTCGTACCTGAGATGAAGTGAGAACAGTCGTACCTGAGATGAAGTGAGAACAGTCGTACCTGAGATGAAGTGAGTACAGTCTGAGATGAAGTGAGAACAGTCATACCTGAGATGAAGTGAGTACAGTCGTACCTGAGATGAAGTGAGTACAGTCGTACCTGAGATGAAGTGAGAACAGTCATACCTGAGATGAAGTGAGTACAGTCGTACCTGAGATGAAGTGAGTACCGTCGTACCTGAGATGAAGTGAGTACAGTCTGAGATGAAGTGAGAACAGTCGTACCTGAGATGAAGTGAGTACAGTCTGAGATGAAGTGAGAACAGTCGTACCTGAGATGAAGTGAGTACAGTCTGAGATGAAGTGAGAACAGTCATACCTGAGATGAAGTGAGTACAGTCGTACCTGAGATGAAGTGAGTACTACACAGCCGACTGCCGTCGTTAGGCACCCAGCCCTCTCGGTTCACAGCAGCTATCCAGCGCTGCTTCCTCTCGGGGTCCCGGGGAAACCGGTAGAAAGATAACGTGGTGCCCGGTGTCCTTCTGTTCCTACAGCCTGCCACCACACATGTGTGAACCATAGTAAGGCCACGGAGAAGCGTGGAGGTGTGCGCTACTATTTGCTGGGTGTTTTGACTCCCAAAATGGTGGCCGACCAGAGGATGAAAAAAAAAAAAATGTTTGCGATGTCATCAACTGTCGTTTGCATGCGCTGATCTGATTGGACAATGTGTGCTCTACGTCACTGAAATGTGATCCTTGATGCTGCAGAGCAAGTGGGTCCTCGACAGAGCTAATGGTCCCAAATGAAAACAAATCAAGCCAAATATTTTCAGTTAAACATAAAAAAAAAAAAAAACAACACAATTTACCGTAAAACTTCAAATAAACGCTCATCAGTCTCTTTTACTTACCCGATGTTACTTTACGTTTTGACAACTAAAGGCAGGTCTTAATGAGAGGCCCCTCTGCATTGTGTTTATTAGTTTGCAGATCAATAATATAATAACGAAAATGTCTGCCCCTCTCCCACACAGTGCAGCATATTGGTATGAACTTACAAAATCAGTGATTTATAATTGAATTTGTTTATCTTGATTTTGTGCACATTTAAATATTCTTTGTTGTAAATGTAATATTTCATAGTCTTTTCCATCTTTGCTGTGCATTCGTTTTGTTTAAAAATCATTAAAGGCTCTCCTCGTATCAACGCCTGTCCCAAAATAAGGCAGGGTCGTTTCATAGACTGAAGTAAATAAAGGCCAGGATTATTAATTTAAGTTTTACGGTAGCTGGTTTTAGTGCTATACCAGTGGTGAATTGTTAACTGTATCCATGTTTAATTTTTGAACTTGTTTAGTTTTGTGTGAGTGTGGATGGCATTAAGAAATGTTGTCTTTAAATGTGTCTGAATAATCCCGTAAGTGTTGAGTGGGCCAGACATGAAAATGAAGAGTCATTCATTCATCTTCCTTTGAATTTTTGCATTTCCACCTTTTGTCATGAACTACACATTTCCATTTTGTAAACACACTACATTACACTTGGAGTGAACGCGATGTGTGTCGACTGATTTGGAAGCCTGGAATCGCCCTTAATCGAGCGTGAGTTAAGAGGAAAAAATGTCTCAGCATTCAAATCTTGTGTGCATATTTGAGACAAAATTTGGAACGGTTTCAGGGATTTCATTCTGTGTATTAAAAAAAAACAAAAAAAACCAAAAAAAACAAAAAAAAAAAACTGTCTTTCCTTATTCATGATGTCAACTGGATTTCAGCTTGAAAGCTAACACACAGCACTTCATCCTTTATCCTTCATCAGTAACATCTAAAGTTTCAATATGCTACACGTTAGAAGTCTTTAAAGAGATGTTTTCCCAATACTTTGAACAGTAATGTTTTATTATATACAGGTGAGTTAAGGAAGAAATCCACAGAGGTACTAATAATAGACATATTTACAAACATAGATATAAAGACAACAAACTGACCACGCTGCTCTCTCCGGGTAAGTCACTACGTTAGGATTCCCCTTCTGAAGTGTCGCCTCTTTTTTGTGATGAATATGGATGAAAGCACCGGACCAGAGACCATCATCTCTGTTACAGGTTTTTCTGTGAGTCAGGAAGAGAGCATCAAAGCGACCTTTAGTTGTGCGTGCGCAGTTTGTACACAGATGTGTTCCTGGCACCTCCGACATGCGACAGCCTCTTGAGCTCAGTGAGACAGAGGATGTACACGGGGGTCCTGGTTCCAACATTGGTAATCCTCCTCAGCTCCTCCATCTGAAACTCGGTATTTTCACCTGCAGAGGGCGCCACACCACAGTGAATGTTTAATATGCATCAGACAGCGGCTTAGTCAAATGTTTTAACTTTGATTAAAGGGGCGTAGCACATCACATCACAGACCTTGATACTCCTCTGAGTATTTGTTGATGTTGTGAACGGCCTGGTTGAGGTTGTTCAGAGTCATCTGCCTCAGGTAGCTGGGTAAACTCTGGAACTCGCTCTCTGACACCGCGGATATCTTAGCAGCTCTGCGCAGAGGACTGGATACAGAAAACAAATGTTAGGGTTAAAATCCTAATTGAACTGCCTCAGCCCACAATCTAAGCACTACTCAAACCCTCACCTTTCACACAACATGAATACACACACCAGTACATTCATGGAAGAAGATGCACACACATAAACACCATTCTCAATCCTCTCCTCCCTCTCAGGCCGCCGAACAATGCTTATCTTTACTCCTTCTCTTTCCTTTCTCGCTATCGCTTTTCCTTGTTATCCTTAGTCTTTATATCATATTATAAAAAAAATCCTGAAAACTACTCCGGACAGAACAGTTGTGATTTTTTCTAAATTGGTGATACTTGGTTTGTCGTCCTACGCACCTACAACACTTTGTTAAAAAACTTGAAATCTTATTATACAAAACTGTTTTGTTTCACCTTTGTTCATCATCTATATAAGTCTAGTATTAAGTACACACTTTAAACAATACAAATTAAAAGATCATTAAAAAAAAAAAAAAAACTCTAATTGCGGTAATTATTTATTCATGTCTATTTGTAACCACTCAGGTGCCACTCACTACAGCATTTGTATCCTAAGCTGATTTGTAAAACCTGTCTCTAGATGGGCAACAACAAATACACCTAAAACAGGTAAATGGAAATGTAATCAAATGTACCACAGGAAACTTCATAATCTATAGAAATATTTATACAAAAAGACACTTATAGAATAAAAATATAGATACTCTTACCTCGTCTTGAGGTTTTAAAAAAAACTATTTTGACCCTGTAAACAAAAGTATGTCTCCACCGTGCATCAATGCAAACATCTGGTTTTGTGAGTTACCTGTTTTTATCTGGCCTGACATTGGGGTTCACAATTGCCATGACAGTCTTCTTCTTCTGAGCCTCTGACAACAGCTACAAAATTCAAAAAGAAATCATCAGTCGAACAGCTCCCTCCAATGTTTGTAATTTGGACTGCAGTACTTATTTGAAACACTAGGTGTCAGAGTAAAAAAAAAAAAAAAAAAAAGAATTAATTTATTTACAACGTCTCTCAATAATGAGCTTAACAGAGAAAGAGGTTTGGCAAACAGATGTTCCATATTTTGGAATTAACTCACCTTACAGATGTCCTGTGTCACAGAGCTCAGGTCCGGCATCTCTGGGGTGCAGGGCTCTTGGTAGTCCATCCTGATGCGGGGTGTCCCCAGGTTGAACTCCTGGGTGGGTCCGTCCAGCTCCAGACTCTTGACAGTTGGCTCCTTGATCACCTCATTACGCTCACTGGTCTTCTTTAGCATTTTTGCACTTCTCTGGATGTAATGATGAGACATGTGAAATAAGAAGGCCATTCATATGTAAACAAAGAGACTCGTTTTAATGCAGAGAAGTCAGAGAAATACAACACGTTCAAGTTGATTCATGAACCCATGACTATCCAGGTTTGTGAAAACATGTTAGTAAAATAAAGTTTGATGTGTGGCTAAAATGAAACATCTCAATTGGTCTTACACTTTGCAAAGTATTTCCCAGAAGAGACTCCAGATCTGGCATCTCCATGATGGACATCTCTGGCACATTGTACTCCCAGGTACGTTTTGAGCCGGTTGTTCCGTTCTGAGGAGATGTTAGGAGTTCAAAGCTGGGGTTGTCGTCATCAGTTTGCATTTTGATGGGCTCCGTCTGCCGTGCACTCTGAGAGGACGAAGAAAGACGCAAAGAGGACATGCGTAACAAGCTTGAGCCTCCACAGATGACGGACCAAAAACAAAGAATCATTTTTAAATCATGGTTTTATACCTTTTTGGTGCTGACAATGTGGTTCATGTATGGGGTTTGAAATGCAGGAACCTCCGGGGTTGTAGGCAGAATATTAGGATGAATGGGGGATTCTTGGTCTCTATTGCCTTGTGCAGGTGTGGCACAGGTACCGTTTGCCTTTTTTATCTTCAGCCCCGGAGTGCAAAACACAGGCGGCTCTGGAGACTCAAACTTATTGACTGTAAGTATAAGAACAGTGTGATACAAAGGTAAGTTCTCAGTCATCCAGGTCACAGTAATTTTGAATCCAAAGGCAACTGGACATTTTCAATATGTCTTTGTAAGTTTGGCAACAGGGCCAAACTTTCAAAGCGCTCTTAGAAGACAACCCGGGCGATCTGTGGACATTGGACGGACACCATTCCCTCTGTTGTAAGTTGTTGTACTCATGGATCGACTATTTTGAGGTGGGAAAGTTACAAATCTGTCCATTGAAACAAACTGCAATAATCTTGAAAGTGTGTACATATATTCCATATTGTCCTCACTCTCTGCACTTTTGTACAGCACAAACTGATATTATTAAGATTATATTTATTGTACTTATTGCTTGATATCCAACCTACATTCCTGCTTTATTAATATTTGATTGTATATAACTATATTGCGAGTGCTTTATTGTGTTTCAGAGAACCTGTAACGACCAAATTTCCCTCTGGGGTTACTAATGTATTTCTGATTCTGATATTGTTGCTTTAACCTAAATACAATTAATTAATACAGAAAAAGTGCTATTTGCTGAAAGCTGGTGTCAAATGTCTGATAATAAAATGCCCACTGAACTTATTTTCCATGAATTAAAGTTCCAAATTTCAATATCATTTTGTAATTGCAACTATTTTACACATGAAAAGTTCCTGCAGACCTGCTTGTGTCTTCAATGTTAAGAACTTTAAACAAATATGTACAGTATGCATTTGTGGAACAGAAGCCGAAGTTAATTTGTTGGCACTAGTTAATAAATGTATAGATCAAATCAGAAGAGAGAAACCAAAGTAAAGGACAATGTGAAACTGAAGAATCATTTCATCAGAACTCAAGATACTTCTTTTATAACAGTGAGAATATATTTCAGCGTATCATATTACCCTGACACCCTCAACAGGGAAATACAGAGAGGTAAATTCAATTAAAAAATAAAAATAAAAATAAAAACTTTATTTGTCCTGGAGGAGCAATTTAAAGGCAAAGCTGAGTTTAAGATGTAGGTCTGGTAAGGTGGTTCAGAAGAAGCAAGATGTAAAAGTTGAATACCTTGTGTCTGAAAACTCTTCATAAAAGAGTCCCCTGGGTGAGCAGGCATGTCTGCTGATGGTCTATTAGAGAGAAGGATATTCATAAAGCAGTTAGAAGCAGAGATTACAGTGCAGTGGCGCTGCAAATCACGCACTTTGCCAGTAGAGGTTAATAAAGGTCAACACTGTTTCATTTTATGAGGTTCATTATCTCTCTCTACCTTTGGGGCTTTGTAACATTCTTCTTGAACAGATCCATGGTGAAGTCATTGTTCAGACACATGGTGTGCTCTGAGATCCCAAAGTCATGCATCTGTGGCGTCTGAAGCTCATCATCATCCATCCGCAGGGCACATTTGGGAGTCAAGGGCATGGGTGGGAGTGCGGGAGTGCCGAGCGCAAGGTGGGGGAGGCTCATCTCAGGCATAGGGGGCACCTCAGAGCACCACTCCGCCCCAGCCATAGCTCTCTTCAGCTGCATCTCGGACAGGCCGAAGTCAGAGAGCTGAGGGGTTCGCAACACATCAGTGAACGGAGGAGGTCCTGGGTTTGGAGGCGATGTGGAGGGATAACCTTCAGCCTCGCTCTGGCTGTCCTCTTCTCCTCCTTCTGGGGTAGCTTCGTCCTCATTTGCGTCTTCATCTTCAGCCTCTGATTCCTGACTTTGAGCCTCTGTGGAGGAGATATTTTAGTGCATCTTGTTACCTGTTTATTAATTATTTAAGAACACGACACTCAATAACTTTTCTTGCACCGCTGTACTTCTTCAGTAATCATAAAAATGTACATTAACTTTACAGACGTTATTACTTCCACAAACCGTTTCACTTTGTTTGACCCACACAGTTACAGCTGCAGTCATTGCTGTACTTACTGGTTAGTTTCTGGGTGTCTGGTGGAGCTTGGTAACCGTATTTTTCCCAGTGTCCCCTCAGCGTCTGCATGTCCTGAGTGACTCTCTGCTCCATCACTCGGCAGGCCTTAATGAAGCTGCTCACCTCGTTCCCCCGAGCTTTCTGCTGAGCTAACTGTCCCTGGATCTGCCCCTGTACGAGGACAGAGCGGATCAAATCAGCACGCTGTCCTCTCAGGTTTTCAAATCTGAAGACACCATCTACTTTAAGTGAAGCATTATAAGCGTAGTGCAGTGTGTTGTGAACAGAGAGAGAAACTTTTCAACATTTCTTGTTAATTTTTAATAGAGTCCGACTGATTATACCAGCCGATAATATCGGCCTATATAAGCTCATCAAGTGACTATCGGTATCGGCTAATTTTATCACAGATATTACCGGATTTATTCACCAGTCAAATAGCATTTAATTCGACTGTTATCGTATCACACTAGCAGTTCTCTATCTGGTTGTCACCACCGTTATACTGTAAATGTTTATCCAAGTGTTTGATAACTACATTTGAGGGATCGATGCAATACACATTTGTATATCTATATCTAAATATCTCTACAGATTGACGATACACCTAAGAAAGATATTGGCCAATATATCAGTATCAGATTTTTTTCTCTTCCCAATATTGATATCGGCCACAAAAATCGCATATCCATCACATCCTAATTTTTTTATGAGAAAATAATTTTGTTATTTAGTATTTAACACTGTTAGGAACTTCCAGGTTGTGTCAATAAAATAAAAATCTTCTCCATGACGATCTGGTTTTCTTATAAGGTCATATCATACAAAGACTGGAGTATACATTTCAGTCGGTTTCAGTGTCAGCTGAAGCTCCTGAAAGAAGCTCTAACATGGCGTATTTGTGGACACTTTGATAATCACAGATGTGTGAAGTCATTTTGATAGTGGTTCTTTCTTGTCCCAAACCCCATTTCAGAAACATGACATTTCTCTGTTGATATTTTTCTACTGTGAGGCGACAGTAAAGAAAGTATCCGGCTGGAGACCTTGGGGTTGGGGGTGCGTTCAATTGAATTCTGGTAAAGTCTGGTTATCCAGATTATTGTAATAAAAGATGTCGGCTTTAGCGTCAAGTGTGGTTTGAATCCACCAACTGCCGTCCACCTCATTTAACGTACACTAACTAAACTAACAAAACAATTTAGCTAACTTAAACATTATGAACGCCACAGTGTTGACTGAGTTCACGAGGACTGCAAAAAAAGTCAAATGTGACCCATTTTCTTTGTTAAGAGACGTTACCTTAAAGCAGGGATGGGCAACTTTGGTCAAAGCAAGGGCCACATTCATTTAACTCTCACTGCCAGAGGGGCCAAATTGTAGTTTCCAAAAATGATTAGTCGATTATGTCTCAAATTTAACTCAACATAACAAGTGATCAAATATTATTATGGACATATTTCTGGTTTTCATGGCAGATTTTGTCTTGTTTTTAATTAACTGACATGTAAAAATTGACCTGAGGGGCCACGTTGGGGGTTGACGGGGGCCGCATGTGGCCCGCGGGCCGCCAGTTGCCTTAACGCGTCAGAAACATGAACCGGGAGTTTAGTTTACAGTTTTCATCTCGTACCTTCAGGTTTCCGACGTCACAGTTCAGACCGTGATAAGCTCTCATCGCTCTGGCTGAGCTTTCTGCAATCAAACACAAAGTTAAACACTTTAATGTTTAAACACAAGACGTAAAGTTCGCTGAACAGAAGTATTTATTCTCTCACCTCTGTCGTCATCGTCGTTGTTTCGGTTTTCAAAGTCCTCTTGGAGCTTCGTAGTTTCTGTTTCCAGAGTCACCGTCAGCTTCCTCAGCTTTGTAAAGAACCGAGCCGTCGGGTCCATTCTCAGGTACGACGTCCACGTTGTGAAACTGTACAATGAGTAAACCTTGAATCACCACACAGGCGGTTTGTTTACCTCTGATCCGCTGTAGGCAAAACTTTTCAATTTTGGCGCCTCTTCCGGCTTTAACCGGAAAGTGTCTTCTTCTTCTTCTACATGGAATTAATGCGCTCGGCATAAAAAAATGTTTGTTTTGCGCCCCCTCTCTTTTTAAGTTTTCTTTTTTCTTTTCTAGAGTAATAATTTTATATAATCATTATTATTATTATTATTATTATTATTATTATTATTATTAATAATAATAATAATAATAATAATAATAATAATAATATCATTTTTTTTGGGGGGGGGGGCTTTTCATGCCTTTAATGGAGAGATAGGACAGTGGATAGAGTCAGAAATCAGGGAGAAAGAGTGGGGAATGACATGCGGGAAAGGAGCCACAGGTGGGATGTGGACCCGGGCCGCCCGCTTGAGACTACAGCCTCCATACATGGGGCGCGCGCACTAACCACTGCGCCACCAGCGCCCCATAATATACATTTTGATATCATTTTCCCTACAGATACATATGATTATGTCTTCATTCTCCAGAAAAGAGCCATAAGAATTATAACTAACTCCAACTACAGAGAACCAACCAACCCACTCTTCATCAAACTGAAAACACTCCAACTTAAGGACTTGGTCGACTTTAAAGCCATTCAAATCGTGTACAAAAAAAAAGCTAAAAATGATCAGATACCGAACAGTAGCCAAAAGTTTTTTCAGCAGAGGGACAGTAAACACAATCTCAGAGGAATATTTATGTAAAAAAAAAAACAGCAGTAAGGACCAACATGAAACTACACTGTATTACAATGAAGGGTGTTAATTTATGGAACAGCTGCAGTGATGAAATGAAAACATGTAAAACATTAGGACAGTTTAAACACATTTTCAAGAATAACGTATTTAACAAATATAAAATTGAGCAGTCAATGGGGAAAATTGAATCACTATCATTTGTAAGGTCTGTACCGTCTACCAATTAATGTGTAATACATTATATCTGTTGCTTTTGTTACTTCGTTATCTGTACTATTCGACTTTATTTTTGAAAGCTTAGTCTTGGATTCATTTATTAAGCTAAAAAGATAAAAGGGGTAGGACTGGATAAGTTATTTAACTTCATCCTACACCCTTTTCGAACATGGACTGGTTAAGGAAAAATAATCGAGCCACTACAGAAAGTATGCTTTGATTGCTGTTTGCTTTGTTTGTAATGTATATTTTGTTTTATTTTAAAAACATGTTCGAAATAAAAAATAAATGAAATGAATGAATGAAATGAATACATTCTGTTGTAATTACCAAAAGAGGAGAAAGAAAACAATTATATAAAAATAGAAAAGAAAAGGGAGGATGTTTCTGTTGTTATCCATGTTATTGTGCTTAAACTGTCAATTAAAGGTTGCCATATTAAGTGAAAAACATTAACTGTCCCTCTCTGTAGGTACCCTTTTACATCTCTGAATAAAGTTAAGTGAGCAGGCAGGTTTTTCTGTTTTATTTCAGCTATGTGAACCTGTGTCATAAAGCATACCATATTATTTTAAATGATGGAGAGATCCACAACAACTGGCCTCACCCAATATTTACAGTTAGAAGTGGGTCTGCTTTATACATTTTTCTGTAAAATAAAGTGTGCATCTTAGTCCAGTAAGTAACAATGCAGGCAATCCCAAAACATGTGCTACCAAGGAACACACCTATCACAGGGGAGATAGCAGCAGGAAACATCTGCGCACGCTATCTTAACACTTTGGAGTTTTCCCCTACAAAACATGTAAAATGTAAAAGGTTTTTTTTCTAACATTTAACCTCATGACCTTTATGTGATTATTAATTTTAATAATACTTTGTGGGCAACAGCCACATTGTCTGCTCTAGATTTCAAACTCTGGATGTTTTTTTTATTATTATTTATCTATTAAAACTTCAAAGTGGATTAGAATTACTGTGTTTGATGGGGCCTGAGATTTAATGGACTGCATTACTGGAAATATTGCTCTACAGATATAAATAGAAAAAGTACTTTGTCTCCACTTACGTATCCGGATGAATTCTGCTCAAAATTATGTTTACTAAAAATGTTATTTAACTGACTCAAGATGCTCAAGTCATGGTAGAATTTTGCCTGCATTTTCAAATAATTCTTCTCTTCTCCAGAGAGTGACAAGGAAACTGTAGGGTGTCCAATAATGACACTTTGCCAGAAGATGGAGCTGTTGTCAATTCTGCAGAGGTCAGTTTATAGTGACCTCAGCTTAAATTTTACCCTGTAGCAAACAAAACTGTCTGTGGTCGGTTTTCATTTCTTGTGTTTGACAGGTTTTTAGAAAGGAAGGAGAATGTTTGGATAAAGCAAAATAACATCTTGGTTTCTGCTGAATCATGTTTGATGCCTTTTGTTTTAAACTATCATGTCTTATAATGTTCAGGAAGCCCAATGCTTAAACAGATAAAGTTCATTGACACTTGTTTGGAAACTTATCCATAAAGAGAAAAGAGTACAGGTAAAAGTGATGACAACCAGGGATTGTTTTTATATCTTACCACCTATACCATTTTGTCTGATATATTCAATTATAAAACATATCTAACATTTTGCTTTTGGACATTATTTTATGGACTTGCATATGTTCATTGAAATGTTTTAGTTAGAAAAACCAAGCTCAGACATATCAGTGATAATATTGTTACTCTTATTCTAACTACATTTGCCTCAAAGATTACAAACAGTCGAATCTTTTATTCATTCTCCTGATGCAGGAATTCTGTTTGGATTAAAAATTAATGCCAGGCTAGTTTGTTTGGAGCATCAAGTGTGAGTGGAAAACTCTACATTTAACACATTTTCTTAACAGGAAATGCATCACATTTAACCGCAGAACTACATTTGGTACTTTTATAAACACAGTCTGGGGCTCTTGAGGCAGAGCCGACCTTGATAACAGGCGCTCTGCACAGGTTTCATAAACGGATGCGTGACTGTGGCTCAACTCGCGATGCTAAGCATGTTACGTAAATTTAGATATGAACAAATGGGTGACTGGAGCAGCTGTGTTTTTCTACCAGACTTAGCATGATGAACTTTTATTTGCTGTTTTATAATTTGCTAAAGTAGCAACTGATATCCTGAATGAACGTCTGTACCGTTTTCAGGCATTTTCATTAAACAAAAAACCTTACTGGAGTAGATTAGCTGATTCAAGTGTTAATTGTGATTTTTTTTCTCTATCTGCATAAAATGGCTTCATTCAAGCACAAAAAAAGCTGAACTCCGGAGGAGAAGTGGAACAGCAGGATGGGGTGTTGGCTTTGGCTCAGGACATTTAGGCAGTTAAGGGTAATTTGTAAGTTTTCTCTTTTTTTCAGAACTGATGTAACACATTAGTTCCACATCTCAGGTCCTTTTATAAGAACCAGATACACAAAATTGAGATGAAAAAAAAAAACACCAAGAGAAGACACAGAGACAGAAAATATGAGCAGAAAGTGACGCATAACAAACAACAAAGAGCCCTTATGACTCCAAAGAGTTACACAATGTCTAGAGAGAGATACAAAATGATAACTCAGAAATATCAAAAAACATAAACAGACTACCACACCGGTAGCCCAGTGGTAAGTGCGACCACGCCATGTACAGAGGCTCTAGTCCTCTAAGTGGGCGGCAAGGGTTCAAATCCGACCTGTGGCTCCTTTCCCGAATGTTGTTCCCATTCTCTCTCTCTCCTGGATTCCTGACTCTATCCACTGTCCTATCTCTATATGAAGACATAAAAAACCTTTAAATGGTACATCAAATGGAAAGACACAAAACAACAACTGAGTGGCAGTAAATAACCAGAAAGAGGCAAAAATACGGAGACAAAAAACTGTCAGAAAGAGACAAAAACAGCAACAAAAAAATACAAAAATGAGTGAAGAAGAAGTCAAATATTAATTATTGTTGGTGCCTCTTTTTGTTTTGATGTCCTTCTTTGTATAATGGATGGAGGGGCCCTGTTTTATTAAATTATTATATTTACAGCTGCAGGCAATTTACAAAAATGAGCTTTTAATCGATATTATTGCATTGAAGACTTTTCTCACTGAATGAGTAATGTCACCATTTAAAAGTTCAGTTGCAGACACTAGGACTTTAAATTTGAGCCTGACACATTAAGCGTCCCATGCCGCCTTTAACTTCAGAGGAAATTCTCTCAAGCCTGTCTGCTTAAGGTAAAGGGGCCCCATCAAACTAAAAGTTGCAAAAGAACGAACGGGAGGAAGCTGACAGATCTCTACAACCGTCTGCTACTCGAACATAGGGGGGGTGAAGGAGTTTTGTGTCAAGGTTGGAGAAGGTGCAGGACGGGTCTTTGTGTTTAACTCGACTCCCCGAGGGCGTCATTAAAGTTTTATTCTCTCTTATTTTACAAGTCATTATACAGACGCACTTAACTGCAGCCGGAGGAGGTCTGAGGTGACACAGCGATCTGTATCCTCCGCACAAACATACAGACACACACACAAATACACAGTGAGAGGAAGACAATATGACAAAGGAAAATGTCGTTTTTGCAACATTTAAAATTGGAATTGATGTGCAGCTGCTGTGTCATTATGCATTCTTCGTTCATTACACCACAGAAAAGAATGAAGAGGAATTAATTAAGAAGTCCATTCATTAAAATAATGCAAAAATAGTTTATCTCCTAACCGAGCAACACAGCTGTACGGGATTAAAAATTCAGTTTCCAGTCCAAAAAGATACAGAAAAACACTGAGATCCCGTGGGGGGTTGATGCATGCTGCATCTCTCTTTCTGCTACGAAAATAAACTGAATATTTAATTTAGCAGAGCTGTGACCTTCTCCTGTCTTTTCCTTGTGAGCTGAGTTGGCGAATTCCCTCTCGCCTACAGTGTTGGTAAACGGGAACAATCGTCTTTTTATCCACTAGAAGCAGCAGCAAAAGAGTGCTTAAACAGAATACTTTATTTATGTTGTTTGTGGTACATGTGAAAAATAGTTAATGTGCATTAAATACCGTGTTTGTGCTTTTCATTTGTACGTTCTTTTCTGT